GGAGGGCTGTGAGGTCTCCCCTCAGTCTCCTTTTCTCCAGGCTGAACAAACCAAGTGACCTCAACCACTCCTTATACGTCTTCCGCTCTAGACCCTCGACCCTTCTCCTTTCCCCCTCACACTACGAATACCCCTGTGTTGCTTCACAAGCAAGCCCAAACCCTTGCTGCTGCCTGGCTGCAGATAGTACCATTGGGCATCAGTTGGTATTTTCCAGACAATGCCATCTTCCCTCCACTAGATTTCCTTTTAGCACTTGGGCATATTTTTCCAGTCGGAATTCGCTGCTTATCAGTGTTGCTGAGATTATACTGCAACTGATGTTGAGTCTGTCATTGATCTAATACCACAGCTACAAATCTGAGTGTTGAAATGTTGGCAGCTTTCTGCTGCAGTGGGTGTATCTTGAGAGTCTCTAGACTTGCTGAAGTCACACTGCAGATATACTTCGCGTCACTGAATGTCTCTGTACCCTCAGTGACTGCAACCTTTCTTTCTTCTGGAAGGTGCAGCAGAGAAACACAAAGTGGCTTTGTTATTCATGCCTGTTTCATGACTTTTTTCCCCTGTGGGTAGTTTTATTCTGACTGCCTATGGACAAAAACCTTACACGTTGCATTGTAGTTGCATTCAGGTATCAGTTAATTGGTCAGACAGGAACCTGCTAGCCAAATAAATAGGAGAGCAAAGCAAAGTTCTCTCATTTCCTGGATTATTATTTTTTTTTTAACAGCAAACTAGGTAAAGAGGAACAGCTCTAAAAGTGGCTCCAGTGAGAGAAAAACTACAGTGGGAGCAGAGCTTGTGTAAGTTATCAGTGAACCTACACAAAGCTGTTGGCAGCTACCGTCTTGGTGGTCCCACTACATGTAAAGCCTCTTATTTTGTCTTGGTTTCCATGTTTCACACCCAGTTCTGCTGTGTTTTCTTTCTCAATTTGCCACTCTTCCCCTTCCCAAGTTCCTTTGGTGTACCCTTTGTACTTGGCCTGCACTAGTGGCAGTGGCTACTTTGATCCTGTTGCTGGTCAGTTTGTTTGTCCTACCTGTTTAAGTGGATATCTATAGCATCAGATCCGTTTATCTCTGCAGTCTCCCCTGTAATCCAGAAGCATCTGTCTCGCAGCTAATTCTGTCTTACTCCAAATTCAGTTCTTATCTTAGTAACTTAAGTATCTCTTTTCTCCTACTTCTTCTGAGTAAAATAAAACCAGCCACAGAGGAACTTCACTACCTTCTCATTTTATCTAGGCTCCTAATTATGCAAAGCAGCAATGTGCAGCTATAACATGCATGCTCTTTCTTGTCTATCACTTTTTAATAATTTTTCTCAAAAGACAATAGAAAAAGTATTTTCTAATCTTTACCCTCTGGTCAGCTATTATTTTCAGTGCCTCTACACCTATGCAATAAGGTGATTTCTGGAAATTTGTTTTTCTTAAGTGTCTAAGTCCCTTATCCTCTTTGTCTAGTATTAATAGTAACCGCAAGCTTTAGACTCTTCTTGAATGCACTTTCTTCCTTGCTGCAGATCTCGTTAGTTGAGTGGTTTCAGCTATATCTCACATCCTGCACATATGGGTAACATCACAGGACACTGCCACACTCCTAAAGCTACCTTGGCTTTGTATTAAGGCAGCATTTGGGCCATGTATGCACAGACTGGCTCCGTGGAACACCCTCCAAAGTGCTTCCTTCCTCGTGCCAGCACTTTCCCTCTTTGTTCCTTGTGAAGGTAAACTCATACTGGGATGGAAGACAAACACTTTGTAGAGGAGTTTCATCTTTTGGCCTCTTTTAGAGCACCAACCTCTCTTACTCAGAGGCGGTCAGGCACAGAAAAAAACAGGAGTGCCCACTGCTCCCCCACGCCTTCCATACAGGCACACCAAGTAATAGAAAGAAGGAACTACAAAAAAGGCTAAATTCACTTTCTGATACTCACTATTTCCTCCTGGTCTTCCCATTCCACTTCTGAGAGATCTACACTGTTGTAGTTTGGCTTAGGCTTCAGTTTCTTTCCTTCCTTATACTGGTGTTTATTGAAAAAAATAAAAGAAAAAGAAAGAAAAAATACCCAAATAAGTGGCTAGATAACTTTGTAAACTAACCCTTTAAGAATTGGCTGAAAAATAGGGGTGTCTCATTTATTCTCTGACTAGGAAGGCAGCATTTGTGCAGGTGCCTTATTGGTCCTATGTCATGTATTTCTTTACACAGGCAGTGAGGGGCTAGGAGAGTTCAAATGGGAGAGGTTGATCCAGGAAGAAGGCAGGAACACAGGTAAACTTGCAGGTAAAAGCTATGGCCTCCCACTTCTAAACAGATCAGTACACTACACTTGCCTCCAGAAAATCAGTTTTTTCCCTGCAGCTAAAAGTATAATCCCGTTAACATTATAACACCAGCAGGAGATCCTTCCTGACAGGAGTTAGGCTTTGACTCCACTGAGGGTAGACTTTTCACCTAGAGCTAGCTGACAAAAGAGAGCTATTTTACTGTAATCTTCCAGGTGAGGGAAAAGGTGTGAAGCAGACCAAGAGAGGCCAAGTTAAGGTGGAAGGATAAAGCATAGCCCTTGCCTAGCTTTGCCTTGCCCTGTCCCTTCTCTTCACGTAACAAAGAAACTCCCTGTGCCAGTGGTCTCCCTTTGCAAAGCTGCCTTTTTTAAGACAGCTGCTGTGAAGCCCTGTGGTGGCACTTTCTCTTGCTGGTGACCACACTAATGCTCAGAGCTGTGTGCAGGTGGATTGTTGCTGAGTAGCACGTGTAGGAAATGTAAAATCTCTGCGTGCCTGGCTATCTGACTGATGAGGCCAGCTGTGTGTTTGCAAACAGATCGGTGGCCTGGAGCTCCCAGTGGCACCACGAGGGAGAAATACTGTCATAGAATCATAGAATAGATTGGGTTGGAAAAGACCTCCAAGATCATCAAGTCCAACCCCTGATCCACCTCCAATTACTATATCATGGCACTAAGGGCCACGTCCAATCTCTTTTTGAAAACCTCCAGGGATGATGAATCCACCACCTCTCTGGGTAGGCCGTTCCAATGCCTGATTACCCTCTCTGTAAAGAATTTCTTCCTAACATCTAACCTAAACTTCCCCTGGCAGAGCTTGAGCCCATGTCCCCTCGTCCTATTGTTGGTTGCCTGGGAGAAGAGACCAACTCCCACCTGGCTATAACCTCCCTTCAGGTAGTTGAAGAGAGTGATGAGGTCACCTCTAAGCCTTCTCTTCTCCAGACTAAACAACCCCAGCTCCCTCAGCTTCTCCTCACAGGACTTGTGCTCAAGTCCCTTCACCAACCTCGTTGCTCTTCTCTGGACACGCTCCAGCACCTCAATATCCTTCCTGAACTGAGGGGCCCAGAGCTGAACACAATACTCAAGGTGTGGCCTCACCAACGCAGAGTACAGGGGAAGGATCACTTCCCTGTCCTTATGTCCACTCCCTCAAGTCCCAGGAGGTGTTTGCAATCTACTGGTCTCTGAATGGTCTCAGACTCACCATATTACTAAGATTGGTGGTACCTCACCCCACTAGGCTCAGAATCCTAAAATGTCCATATCTGCTGGGTAGTTATTACTGGGTTGCTACTCGTGTTGAATCTCCTCTTAGGAGATGTGCCTGAGCAAGGGGACCTGTTCCTGCAGCCTGGCAGTGAAACCTTGCGTGGGCACAGATACATGTGCACCCACAGTACAGCAAGTGCACATGAATACAGCCCTCACATGCAGTCCTACAGAGAACAGAGAGGCAGGATACCCTATGCTTCATACCCATGTGTGTACGTGGAATTTATTTCTTCGTCCCTCTTGCTCCTGGGTGCCTGTATATCAGAGCCTGGTAGCCTTCACAGCTCAAAAAACCCCCAAATCAGAAAGACCCCTGAAAGTCTCTGTTTTCAAGTCAGCAAAGGTTCTCAGATTCACAGCTGTACATACCAAAGGACGGAGGTCTGGGTGTGAAAGGATGTAGCCGTTGTTGGTGTTCAGAAAGGCGTATCCATGGACACCCAGCTGAAGAAAGAGGCATCAGAATAATTAGTGCTTTAGCTAGAAACATGTATAATGGGTACCACTAATACTCTGGCACCACCGATAGTCAGAAATATTTTCCTTTTGTAGGTATTGACCAGCAGAAAATAGGGTCCATCCCAAACCATTTATCTCCAGATCTCTGACTGCTCTGCCCAAGCAGAGTCACTGTGCTTGGATGCACAAAAGGATGGACAGGTAATTGGTTTTATGTACACCTTCAGAGAGAGATGCCCCCCTACAGTCTGACTGTCGTCCTGGACAATCACCACCCAGAGGCAGACTGAGCTCTCCACAGCAGGCATAGCAGAGCTACTCATAAAAAGTGCAACGATGGGGAATGTTGTAAACAGCCCAGAAACACCAGTGACAGGTCTGTGTGCCCATCACTATGTGTGCAGAGCAGTGAATGAACAAGTGAGTATGAATCTCACAGTCGGCTTCCCTGGAAACCCCGTCGGCCTTCAGAGGAGCTCTGCATTATGTTTCAGTGTTGGCAAGACCAGACCTAGCCTAGGCCAGTTGTACAAGCCTGTAGTCTTAAAATGCTTTTTAAGGAATAGCATAGTCTAACAAGAGCAGACACTGGCTGACCTGATCTGCAAGAGATTTCCGAGAGAGCAATTACTCAGCTCAAGCCCACATATAATACAAATTCCAGCTAAAAATCTGCAGATAGCCTGTGCTTGCCAAAATAAGAGGTGTCTCAAGAAAAACAAGAATGTCTAAGGTTTCTATCTTCAAAAAAATGTTGCAACTTTATTTTCCTATAGAGACAATCCTGGAGGGATAACAGTAGGAAAGTGAGGAGGTGAGTCATTTACAATCCGTCTGTGCATTCAGGGAACGAATTCTGTATTTCACACATCTCGGATCAAAACTTTGGACTGTCTCTATGTAAAGCAGCTTTTTGTAAAGCACACTTGGCTCAGCTCAGCGTGGCAAGAACAAAACCAAGACACTGGATCAGCAAACTTCTTTTTTGCCTATTAAACCTGATATTTCCCAGCCAAGTAAGCACGATCATTAATACACAAGCTCTTGAGGGCTGGAACTCTGGAACTGGTCCTTTTGTAATCTATATTCCAGGGAATTTAAGTTGAGGATCCTGGGTTTCTAAACTGCTTTGGAGTTGGAAGAGCTTCTGGGAAGATGTGTCCTGCCTTTGATGTAAAGAAATTCAAATAATTTTTTCTCCTTCCCTGACGCTGCTTGGAGGAAAGAACTGTGTCCCTTCTAGGGCCAGAAGAAAGATTATTGTGACACCTGGCCTTTGAGTGACATGGAGAGAGGAAGATGAAAAGGTATCAGTCTTATACAGAAAATAAATGTATAAAAATTGAAACTCCTAGACAAGGTTCCCCCAGGCCCAAAGCATCCAGCTTTTGCATGCTGAATGCATGCACCCTGACACTCCTAGTTCTAGGATTGCCTGAAGGATCATTTCCTACATCTTCACGTTAATGGTCTGCTGTGTATCCATGTCTGGAAGCGCCGCAGAAATTCATAGCTTCTGACAGCACTTTCAGTCCTGTGAGCCTTTAGCAATCAGGTTTTGGACAACTGCCTAACTGGTAGTAGTTTTCTGATAGTTATTTAAGAGAAACTGAAAACTTGAAATGATGGCTCAAATTTCCTCGTTTCATGGTGGTCCTTGGTTGTCCATGGTGTGCAGCCTGACTGAACAAAGGGTCACTGCATGGAGTTTACATCAGAAACCAAACTAAACAGTGCATCTCTGGAGGGATTTCCTATGAATGAACATTTTTTTTTTTTTTTAAGATACGTTGAACATAGAGCTAATGGAAAGCTTTTTGACTAACAAGTCTGGGGAGCATATACTCCATCTAGGTACAGAAAAAGTGAGTGAGAGCCAACTTTCTGTGCACTGTCCTGCCAAAAAATCTTCATGCTGATCTGGAGAAACTCTTCTAGGCATGCCAGAATAGTTGGCTCTCCATAATCCATTCAGCCCTCACTTTTTCTTCTAAGAATATTGACAGTGAAACCAATACATTTTTTGCCAGCTGGCATGGCAACTCTTGTCCACTGGGAACTGGATATAAAAGTTTAATTCTTCTAAGATAGGCTGTCATCTCTGAGGGATCTAGGTTGGTGACCATCAAAATGCAAAAGTTCCACAACATTTTGCCAATCTACTGGATCATCCAGGTCTTGTGATCCTGAAGCAGCAAAGAGCTTCTAGTAGTGAATGTCACTTGTGCTGTATAGAAACCACACATCACCACATCCAACATCTCTTCCTTTATGCTCATAGTTTTTCTTACAGGCAGAGAAACGATTTTTCAGTCATGCCCATGAGAGAATGACTAATGACTTTGCTGTGCAAAAGAACAAATTGCATTTTCTGAGTCTTACCTTATACCGTGGAGCAAGTTTTAACAACTCCCTCAGTGGTACATCAGAGCCTACCACACCCAGAAGAATGCCATGGGATCGCTTTAAAACAAAGGAGAATCTATTTTCAGAAGCAAGACCTGGGTAGTTTTCTACCTGAAAGCACATTGTCTCCCTGCTAGTCTCTCATGTATCCTCTCTAGGCTTGTGTGACTATCTTTATTTAAAATCAATTAGCATACTTCAAAAAGTCTAAAGAGGTTGTTCCAGGGTTTGTGGAGAGGAGTATTTCTATACAATACTAGTCAGTACTATTTACTATGATTCAGAAGAAACATAAAATCACTGAAAACAAGTTTTGAGGGCAAACTCCTGGATTCAGTATGTGTAAATAACAATGAGGTCAAGACAATCATGCAACAGAACACGGATTGGTTGAAAACTTGGGTCAACTAAATCAAATACTGAATATAAAATTGTTAACCTAGGAAAAAGGAATTCCCTCCTCCACCATATGGGAAATTGGTTGTTTAATAAGCATTATTAATGTAGCATGATGGAAAAAATGACACACAGACTCCCATTGCACCACTGTGCTAATACAGGCTAAGGCCAGCCCCAGGTGGAGAAGGTAGACAGTTGTTTGTAAGACCTGGATGAATAGTTTATCCCTCATACAGCAAAGGAAAGATACTGTCCACCATTTTTAAAGGATGCTGAGAAACAAGAAATTGTACAGAAAAGAGTGTCTAAAGGGTTTTAAACCCCAGAGGAAATGCCCTTATCAAATACATTTAAATAATTCAGCCTTTTTATCTTATCAAGATAGACAGGTTTGACTTTATGTCAGTGTAGAAGATGCTTTCCAGGAGAATGTACCAAAGGGTATAGGCTTTTTAATCAAGTAGAGGAAGCCATTATGACAGGAACACGAGGCCAGACAAAGCAGAATTTAGACACCAGTTTTTAGTGGAGAGTGAGAAACCACAATGGAGAGATTTGGGGCTGGATGCTTTTCTTCAATGGCACTTTTGCCAAAACAGGTTATTGGGCTCATGAAGGACCCTCTGCGTGAAATGTAAAGGTCTGCAATAAAAGAGATGGACTAGACAAGGTAATGATCTCTTCCAGTCTGAAATTTTAATGTCAATGAACTAGGCACATTTTGAAAATGGAAGGGATAAAACAGAGAGACATGTCATATTTAAGAGGTATTTTAAAGAAATAGCATTCAGAGGACATGACAGGCTATCATTTTGACAGATAAATTATCAGCCATCCGTCCTGCCAGAGGTCTATCGCACTTCTGAATGGCTTTAAAACCCTGCAAAGGTCCACTGCATCCTGTCACCTCTGCTGGCAGGGAGGAGAGCAAAGCCCACATTGCACTCACCGTCTCATTCTTCTTGCTGAAGACTGGCATGGCCACTGTCGTCATGAGCAACAGACTTTGAGCCTGAGATGCAAAGAGCTGCCACAGAGCAATGGAACGTGTGTTAGCAAGTGCAATAACAGAGATAACCCAAATGGAAGGCACTGGAATTCCCAAGGACCCCAGATGTTGATTACAATTAACCACCTCCTTGCCTCCTCCCACACTTCTCCAGAAACAGATGGCAGCACTTTTAAATACTCTGTATCCAAGAGGATGGTGGGGTGGATGCTTGCTCGTGTGGGGTGACGAGGATGGGATGAAAGCCAGTGAAATGTGTTGAAGCAGGAGAAATTGAAGAGTTGCTTTAATGAAGAGACAGGAACCTGTAGAATTGGTGGCACAATTTATACCCACCATGTGTTAGGAGTGTAGACATGAACACTTATGCAACAAGTGTAAAAACCACCAACACAAGGAGCACAGAATGGAGAAAAGCAACACAAATATGAGCAAAACCACAGACAAGGTATTGTCTATATTGCTAACATATGAATACCACAAATGAAAAACACCACAGGCAAATATTTAACAGGGACAAATACACACAAAGCCTGCTTATATATACTTGTTACCCAACCATCTAAGTGTAGGAAAAACAGAGACAAAATCATGATCCAAACAGATACAACAGAGTGAGTTGTCTCTATGAGGGATACAGGACATGCACATGTAATGGGGTAACAGATGCTCCCAGTTCAACAGAAGACAGATGCTCTAAAAACACACATGAAAGGAGGTAAACAGGTAAGACACGTGCAAATGAGTCTCCCAAACATGCCAAGCTATCAAAAGAATCTAATCCTTTGTTGTCAGTAACATCCCCCCCTTTTATCTCTCATTTGGCCAAGTAAGTAGCAAGGCAAGAAACGACCTCCTGTCTTCATTACAATATGTACTAAGAGCCATAAAGGAGCCAGTCAATAATCAGTCACTTGATGGGGATTTGAGCCTCATATCTTGAGTTACTATTCTGATGATTTTTTGTGGAAAATTCCCATTCACAGCAATGCTCACTAACACGCAGCAAGTAAACTTCCCTGGCACTTACTGGACATATGGAAAAAGAGATCAGGTGAACTAAGCTACTGCACAACACAGACACCCCTACCTACTCTGAACCAGCAGCGCAGCACAGCTCCCCAGTACATCCAGCATTTCCTCTCCTCTTCTTGCCAGTGCAAGAGGACTCTCTCAGTGCTGTGTGTCCCCCCCCCAAAGATGTACAGGCCAGCTGTGGCTGTGAACACTGGCACTGACACACCAACTGGCACAAGGGAAACAGCACACTCACAAAACACAGGGGTGCAGTTACCTCCTCAGACTGTGGCAGCTAGTGAGAGACATGGATGAACACATAAATGAATACATGAATGGAGGAATGCATCAAAGATGGGAGAGGCTGGGACAGAGGAAGAGAATGGCAAGCCAAGACACAAGGCAAGAAAAGAGGTGCAGCAAAAAAACGTGCAGCAAACAAATCTCTGTGGCTGCCTTGGGAAGTGTGACCCCATACAGCAGTGCCAGAGGTGGCAAGCCCGCTGACAAAATAAACTTGCTGGGTAATTAGTAGCATCTCTGGAGGTTTTGCCTAGTACATTCAAGTACCATGTCCCAGCTCTCACCTCGCAGGAAAGACATCTCCATTTCACTCTCCCAGAGTTAATGTGACATGGCTGCAGCCTCAGTGGTCAGACACAGTGCAAAAGTGGGAAATGGTCCCTTCCTACAAGAGTCTCCCAATTATAACATTTGTACACCACGATGGCGCAAGCCTGGCAACCTTGGAGGTATTTCCTGGGGTTCATGTGGTCTTGACTCTGAGCACAGCATTGAGTACCACCATATGTAACCTGGACTTCCATGTTTCCTGCTACAAACCTAAGCACACTATCCCTAGTTTTACTCCAGCTCAAAGAGCTCATGTTTCTCACTGTAGATCTTAAACCTGAAAACTGTGTGTGTTCCCCAGGGCTGTGGCAGACACCCTAAAGCTGCTGTTGTCCAGACTGGAGCCTGCAAATTCAGTCCCACAGTGGGACTGTGTACAGAAACATTCTCAATGTTTCTAGAAGATTCTTCTCCTCAGATAGAATAAATAGTCCTGAAACCTTAGGTTCGTTTCTGGAAGAGGGAAACCTGACTTCAGATCATCTCTAGCTGTCCAGAAGTCAGGCACTTCTCTGAGGTGAAGAATCCAATGTGGGAAAAAAACTCCCTCCCACATAGAGGGCACAGAGAGCCACAAAAGAAAAACTGTAATTTTCTCTTTCAGCAGCGTAAAAAGGGGTGGAGATGGAGACTGAGGAACATCATCTGTTTGGTGAAGTGCACAGGAAGGTTCCTTCAGTGTCATCTATGCCTTTGTCCTTCCCTTCACTCCTCTGAATCTCAGAGCTGCCTTAGCAACACCACATGATGACAGCACCTGCTCGTGGTCCAAATGTCTTCCAACAGGGCAGGCCTAAGGCAAAGCAAGGGGCTTTGGGAGTGCTGATTGTCTGGTCCTTTGTGATGTGTCCTTGCCCCTCAGGGCTGGGGACAGGACCACTGTGGTGACAGGCCTTGCTAGAGCAAGGAACACAAGAGCAAGCCTGCTTCCCCAGTGGAAATCTGTACCTTTGGGAGGCAAGCAATATGCAGTTGGCTCCTGGTCTGGAGGAAATTAGTCTCTGTGACCTGTACCCTGAGCCACGGATAATCTTTCCTGTGAATAATCCTTTAGAAGGTAACCTGCTTTCACAGAAGCACTACTTAAGTGACGTTGTGCCTGTGTGATTAGCCCTGGGCGATTGGGTCACTGCAGATTCTGATCTGAGACCGCATACACACCTCAGCTCCGGGACCGAGTAGAAAAGAAATATTGTCTGTATCAGCAGAGCCAGGGACCAGTAATTTCTATCCATCAGCCAGCTCCCAGTATTACATAAATTTCAGAGCTTTATTTAGATTCTGATACACATAAGATATTTAGATGGGAAGCAGGGATAAGTTATATGGCTAACATACTAGCTGTGTGCCTAAGACCTCTGCCACTTTGGCCCACAGGCCCTGCTGTTTGCCGACCAAAGGCTCGTGCTGTAGGTGCTTACCGCGCTGTCCATGTAGGCCTCAGTCCAGATAATGTCGTGGTCGTGGTTGATGACCATGGGGCGGCTGAGCACGTGCAGGTACTCCATCACGTTCTCCTGGACATCCGCCAGCGTGGAGATCTGAGTGTAGTAGCCTTTGTGGAGAAACAGGGGTTTGAGTCACTCTGCCAACGCATCTTCCGTATTTTTACATGAGCGCCTGTGCAAAGCTAGAAAACTAGATGTCAGACACTCTATCTACCCAGTTTACAAAAGCCTTGACGTGCCTTGTATTCACAAGCTTCTGTGGGCACACGTTTCTGTGGAAATCTAGTTTTGAAGCACAGACTCTGTTCTCTCAAAATACTGAAGCAATGCTCAAGGCCAGAGTCTTGATATAACCAGATTTATGCAAAGCAAATACACAACATTGCATTGGGTCTTGGGCAAAACCTTCCACTACTGAGGCTGCCTTTGGTCCTGAAGGCCAAACATATGCAGACAAAGTATTTCACCAGCCTACCTGCTTACCCTGAGCTATTTTATATTAAGATCAAACTCCCACCTTTGCTTCCAGATTTTTTTCCAGCACTCTTCAGTCTGCCTAGCTTTACATCCAAGGATGGCGACTACTTCCATCTACCCCTTGGAAGCAAAAGATAAAAGAGCAAGTAACCTATTTCCAAGGCTTTGTCCCTGCAGATGGACCTATAACAGTCTAACGCTACAACAAGGAGTATAGGAGAAGAATATATTCAAGTTATTAGAAGGTCCTCAACACTAGCTACTTAACTAGTTAGAGATGCTAACATAGTGTAATGTCATGAGGACCCTTGTCCTGCTTCTCACCACATGGTTTGGTTGTACTTGGTATAAGATGGAATACATCAGATAGATGGAAAACTTTCCTATCACTAGGGAAACACTGTCACGTGAAAGGGCTTGTATTCTGATAAGCTTTGGGATTTGGAAACAGACTTAGTGTGCTTGAAAACAAGGACCATAAGAGCTATACAATGTGCTGAAACAGAAAAACCAAAATCAGGGAGCCCTCTACAGAGCTCAAGTGTGGTAAATAAGAATCCAAGTGCAAAGAGCATATTTTTTTTATCTGGTTATTCAGAAGAATCCCGTTCTCACATTTTATGATGGACCAACAGCACTACAAATTCCCTGTCACTAATCTCATCACTGGGAATACAATCTGAAATCCAGGATTTTGTTTCATTTAACAAAACCTAAAAATACTATGTGTAATTCAAAGTGCTAATAGGTGAATGTTTGAGCCTTGAAAATCCCCAGCTCACAGACATTCTGCAGGTCAGGAACTCATCTGTCAATGATTTTCAGTAGAAATGCCTCCATGCATTTCATAGTCTGCTGGAACCACTGCTCAGACTGGAAAACAGCTGATGTACCCAGCCCCCAGCTCCAGTCTTCCTTTTCCTGCTTAAGCAGGACACTGATGTAGCAAACACTGTTGTCTCCAGGCACACTGAGGCCAGGTCAAGCCCAAACACAGAAAACTTGTCCCCCCTCTTTCTTCCTTCAGCCTTGTAGACTCTGATAGGACTAAACTGACTTTTTAACTGGCCCCTAATGGATAGAGGTGACTCACCTACTGTGAATGGATTTTCCTATTCATGTCATTTAATGCCAGTTAGAGAGAAAATTGGGTTTGGGGTGGGATTAACAAGCTATTCTGGTGCCTCAGTGAAAACCACTGACACACAAAGAATTTGGCCAGGATACAGGGGTTAACCCACAGACCTCATGAAAAATACTGTAAAATCTTTAAAGAGGTGATGTTTGTTTTACATCTCAGCCAAAAGATGTCGGGCTCTCTGACAGAGCTGTAGACAGATTGTCAAAAGCCAGCAACTGGGGCACAATAAGCACAGGGACTTAGGTGGACTACAGCCAGCATGAATCTCGGTCATAGTGTCCCTTGGCACCGTGACAGGAAAATGCAGTGGCTCAGCATGGAGGACTGGTGTTAGCTGGACACAGACACGCTTCACATGGACTAGCAGGGTCTGATTTTTCCTTATGTTGTCTTCCAAGCAAGGGCTCCTGGGCCCCAGCTGTAGTGGGTGAGCCTTAGCAGGGTCCAGGGCCCTGTGGCTGCAGTCCACATGTGACGTGTGTGATGGGGATTGGGGAGCTGTTCCCACACAGCACCTTTGTTGTTGCAGGCAATCCATTTCACCTGGGGGGCAAAAGTGACCTCCCGTCCGATGAGGTAAGTGAAAACCCGGACCTGGGAACAAGAACACGAAGATAGAAGAATTAGTCTGTAATGTGCTACCAAATCCTGAGGTTTGGCATCCTGTTACACACTGGTGTGAGTGCCTGTTTGTGGTGCAAAGCAATAGCTCTGCTTTCACACAGAGACGGGAGCCTCTTGCGCCATTTGTTTTGCATTTTGCGGGTTGGAACTTAATTTCCGATTACAACGAGCCCAGAAAGCCAAGTAGCACCCAGCATCATCTGAATAACAAGGCAGAAGTGCAAATTCTGCTTGATTTTATGATAGCAGCTCTGCCAGGCACTCAGCAACCACATGCAGAGAGGTTTATAGCTCACAGGAATCCTTTACCCAAGGGAACAGCTGGCTGCATGAATCATTTAGAGAAAGCTTTACCATTTCTCTTGTGTTTGACCACCAAAAAAAGAGTCAATCCTGAAATAAACTGCTTTAACAGCCCCTTGCTCTGGTCTCTCAGTAGGCTTCTCTCTCCCTTTGTGCATTGCTGCTAGCTGGGAAGAGGTAAACAAATAAATCAGGAGGGTTTAGGATGAGCCGTGGTCTATTCCGCTTTCACAGTCAGCTCTGCTAGTACAAGACTCTAATTACAGACCTCAGAGTAAACAGGACTGGAGGGCACCTAGGGAGCTTTTCTGGGCCATTCCCTGCCCAACATAAGAACTGCTAATAGCCAAACCTTTCCCAAACAGGACCAATTATAAACAGTCCTGCACAGGATTAAAACTATTTTCAAAAAAGCGTTTTGGTGGGGTTTTTTTTTTTAAATTTTTAAGTATTCAACTCAGTCTTTATAATGTTATCAGGAGAACACTTTGGTTGTCCATACCTTTAGAAAATGAAATGTATGAAAAAAACCTCTTTACTGATCTACAGATATCCATTTGTAATCCTACCACCTTGAAAACCTCCGCAGCAGGCTCCTACCTGGCTGCTTTGTTTTGTGTTTACAGCCAGGTGCTCACGGGTATACAGGTTTTGGAGGATGTGAATGCTCAGCTCTGCCTGATATCCTGACTTGTGCTCTTCTATTCCCACCATAGCAGGATAGCACCTTTCCTCTCCCTCTCTACTTATCACTTCCCAGACAAACCTTCCGATCTGGCCAGTTGTATTTTTCAAACACGGATTCATAGTCCTCCACTGCTCCGTCGGTGATCAGCATGATGGCTTGGTTACACAAGCCTCCTTGACCAGCTTCTCTGAACTACAAACAGAGAGGAAGAGCATTAGTTATCCCAGCTCAGGCTGCTTCTGTGTAATTGCACTCTATTTATTTATTCACGGTGGGCCAGATCCTGCCTTCCTCTTGCAAACCTCACACTCAGAAAGAGCTCCGCTTAAATAACGGCTGTGTTCGCACACTGCATATAATTTTTTTATTTATACAGCCCTGCCTAGCACATGTAGACATGGGAGGCTTTACAGAAGTAAAATAATGAGGGGAAAATAAGCGTTGTGGAGGAAGGGTGCGATTCCCTGCTGCTTCACATCTTGCACAGTCGCATTCGTTTATGCAAAACAATTATGGATGGACCATAAACACTGCAATTCTGATTTGACAGCAGTAACTGTCACTTTTTATGGCAGAAAATGTGAGAGGAGTAGGAAATCAAACTCATTATTTCAGGGTAAATACATCAATCTGCCAAAGAATAGCAGAGAAAGGCAGGAGCACATGAAAAAAAGGACGCTACTGCCACCAGAGCTGAGAAAGGTTGTGGATGGGCCAGATAGAGAGTCCATACACTGTAGTGACAGATGACCCATTATCTGTGCATAAGTGATATTTAAGGCAGAGCAGAAGTACACTGGGACTCTGGTACAAACCTTGATGTGCTCCCAAGGGCACCTGGAGAGGTGTTGAACAGATGTGCTCTTGCGGGCAAGCCCTTCCTCTTTTTCAGCCAAGAAAAACCAGCCATGGAGCACTGCTTATCTCCTGCTTCTGCATGCAGAGCCATTTGCCTCTCATGCCCTCAGGTACCCAGATCTAAAGAGCTAAATGCCTTATCCAGCACCAACACAGGTGTTAACAGCCACCGGTGGAGGTAGTGGAGGACATCCAAGGTACAAAACCAAGCAGCCACTTTCCTGAGGCTCCCAGCTCAGTGGCACTATGTGCTTCTCCTTTTTCTGCATTTCACCACTTCTGTGCTCTGAGCAAGGAAAAGTCCAATCAACAGAGGAAGATACAGAAACTGATGCAGAGTAAAAAAAATACAGAAAGAGGGAGAGATGACAACTCTGCACAAGAGATTAATGAGAGGCAATGGCATGAGATGGAGAGTATACAGGAGACTAACTGAAGGGTGAGTAAGGTTATATCAAACAGCAGCAATTTTAAATTGGAGAGGATAGTTATATCTTACAAATGAGGAAAAAGATATCCAAGTGGCAAGATTAATAGCATAAAAAAAGGAAAGCAAGCATTGGATGGGAAAACAAAAGCTCAGAGTGCGAACTGGGACTTTTTGGGTCTTTTAGGTTTCAGTTCACAACTCCCCTCTGTTTTGGTCATGCTATGTTATGACAGACAAATGTTTTTACCAACATGAATAGTACTGTAGTTCCACTGCAGATCAACATCATGTCCATCAATGCCTGCAAGCCAACGCCAAGTCCAGATTTCCCCAGTAATTTCACCGCAGTTACCTCTGTGATTGTCTCTTATTATGAAATTACCAGGTTCAGTGCTAACATCACCATAACATCACCTTCTGCCACCTTCTCTTTTGTGTCATCACAGCAGCACATTCAGAGGGGAGACAGACAGCACCTCTGCTGCTGTGGTCACTCCAACACAGCTCTGGGGATCTCCCATGTTCTTCTCTACAGAGTCCCCAAGGTCTGCCATTTCCAGTTGTCCAAAAAGCTGCTATACTTTGTAACATGGAAAAAAACCCATCAGTGTAACTTGATTGCAGGGTAATTTGAGCTTCAGGAGGGGTCAGAGCTCAACAGGGAGACTCAGGGCAAAGGCTGAGGGTGTGCAACTGGGACAAGCACAGGATGCCCTTAAGTGAAAACTGAGGGAGAAAAGGAGGTGACAGCCACATGGGATTCTGCTGCAGACCATCAGGTACAAAAAAGACAAAGAGCCTCAAGTGAGCTATTTCTAGGACAGAGATCAACTGCATGCAGATTAGCAGAGGACAGACAGTGTGAGCGTCCATCAGGGAGGCATGGGGCTAGGTGGTGCAGGAGGTGCTGTCAGAATGAGGCTCAGATCACAGATATGCAAACCTTATAGTTACAAAAGCAGCTTAGTCCAAAATGTTGCAATCTGCAATGTTTGTTTAGATTATTATTAAATTAACGCTTAATTAAGGTCACCCACCATTTCATCAAACTACTTAAGACATCTCTTCATGAAGCTTGCTTCGGATTTCATAATACTGAGATACTGAGAAATTAGATGCTGCATCAGAACTAGCAATCTCCTAATTACAGGAGTAGATGATATTTTCAACAGGGAAAATGAGATCATCAGTGTCATAGAAATAGAGATTAAAAAGACAGATTTAGAAAACAAATGAACAAGGAGGTAATCCTTGGGTTTTAGGTCCTTTTGTGACTGGTTGCAGCTGTAGCAAATGATCTGACAGCATTCACATCAAGCTCTCAGCATAATTCCCTCCTCTGACTGAAGTCTCAGGAGCATGAAAGAAGGGGAGATGAGGAATAATATGTCCACAGAATAGATGTCTAAAGAAATGTGGGCTAGAGCTGGATCAGAGAAAAAAGCACAGAGCTACATGTTCTCCTATAGAACTTTGGTCACGTTGCCAGGACTAACAGGCATGATCTAATTAATTCAGGGTCACAGTCTCCTGTACTCCCTTGTTTGCTCATTGCCATTTGCTTTGCAGTTATAACCTGGTACAGAGTTACTAGCTAAGCAATAGAAACCATCACCATCGCTCAGAGATGTGCAGGCACACGTGCTGATTATGTACACATCTGGCCAGAGGACTGAGCAGCCCCTCCTCCTCTCCTCCTGCCCTATTCTTATGCAGACCTGCCTCCAGAGTGGCCTCCAGAACTACTGAAAATTCAAACTTGGTGGAAAGCGTCTCATGGGTAGAAAATTAGCAGTAGAGAAGGAAACAGGCAGTGCAGAAGAAATGAGAAATTAAGCAAAACAATAAGAACTGGTAAACAGGAAATTCTGAGCTTTGCATGTCTTGAAAAACACGCTGTAAAATCCAGGTCCAAAAATGCGACTGGAATCAAGGAAACATTTATAAACGTTCAGAGAAGAAGGAAAAGAGGGAGTAAAAAGAGTATGTTGCCAGCTGATAAAAAAAACAGAGGGAAATGGTTGGACAGAGGATGCTTTATAGCCTCCATACTTGATCATCAAAAGGACAATATTCTAGTGGCTGGGTACCCACTGAAGTGATAAGAAACAAGGAAAAGACAGAAAGAATTACAGGCAGGGTCACAAAGTGGTAGAGTTAAAGAGAAAGCTAATTGAAAGCATATGAATAATCTGTGTTCAGCATGAAGGGAAAGAATTGCAGAAGGTATAGCTGAACTACTTGCCTCATGAGCTGAGACCTGACTGGGACTGTATGAGATCCCAAAGGATGAAGAGAGGATCAACAGAAAATGTGTTACAAGAAGGGATGAAACTAGATGGGTAGAGTTGTCCTTAAACATTTAGCTCATTGCTAAAAAAGTTAGTAACACAGTTGTGAGTGCACAAATGAGATGTTTCCTCACACAAGTGGAGCATAAGAGACCACAAACTTTTGATAACTCACATCAGCAGATGGGTTCATTCTTTTCATAGCACCAGTTTGCTCGAGTTACTCAGAATTTTACGCCTCACTCAAATCCAGTTTGTTACCAGTTTCATAATGTTTTATCACCTATAATCATTCTGGAGAGACCTACTCAGTTAACTTGAACTTTTTTGTGATTTCTGAGGTCAGCAGTGAGTCAAGGCATGATTAAAGCATCTTGATGTTAAGAGAAGACAACGTTCCAAGGTGGCCTTGGAAAGCTGAACTTGGCATTTCTTGTCCTCCAGAGAATGGCTAAAGCATTAGCTTTCAAAATACTTACTTACTCTGAGTGGGTTCTGAGAAAGGAGGACACATAAGTGTCACAGATTTTCATAGAATCATAAGAATACCAGGTTGGATAGGGTCCCTCAAGAATCATCTGGTCTATCTAATGTGCTATCTAATCTTAAAAGATTAATATATAACAAATATATGAATATATTTGTATGTCTCTCAGGATTGCGGGAGGGTGTTTGCATATGTATATGTGTGCACACATATGTACCTTGGAAAGGAGAGTCAGTGGTTCAAATACCAAACAGGAAGGTGCATACTGCCTGGAGAGGGATAATGCAGAGACAGATCAGCTGGATAGGAATTAACAATGTGACAGTGTCTGAAAAAACATAGCTGTTGTCTTACGTTGTGTTAAGAGGACTACGGTGTGTAAAACAGGGAAGGCAATTATTCTGCTCTGCTTAGCACTCGATAGCTCTCAGCTGCAGCACTCACACATTGTTGGGAGCGTGGTGTCTCAGGGAAGACAGCCTGGAAGCAGCCACGAGCAGAGCAGCAGCCAGAACAAAGGGGTATAAATCCTGCAGGAAAAGGGTGAGAGAACAAGACGTGCAGAGCTTGTTGAAACAGAAGAGAAGATAACAGGGAGATAGATTACTGACAAATAAGAGAAGAGCTCAAAGGATAGCACTTAACACCTGAGAATTCTGAAGCACTTCATAAACGTGTGCTTAAGACCGTCGTTTCCCTGGGATGCTTATTACATTGAAACCACTTTGGCGTGTGGCTAAATTGAAATAGAAAGTATAAGTGGTTTATTGAGCATGGCAGAGAGGGGCAGGGGAAGCTCTGGATAACCGTTCTCCTGAAACCATTCTGCAAATTGCATCATGGATTAAAATATGCCCTGTCTACCCCAGAACATAATGGAAGAAAACAAAGATGTGGGAAACTCGTGCTCTTCTTCATACCCTCTCTGCTACTCACACCTCATTGAGTAGGTCTCTGCTGGGCTATTAATTCTATGAGCAATTGGACTGAGGAAAATTACCAGGGAAATTTTGCAGTCACTTTCATTACAGATATTATTACTGGTTGTCTATTGTAATCAGCAAAGCCTGTTTCCTCAGTGTGATGTAGCAATTTTCATTTTCATTCTCTTGCGTGTGCTCCTGTGAACAATAACAGGGCAGTCTGTGAGGAACAGCTACAATTACAAGCTGAGAATGTCAATCTTGCCTGATGAGAAGGGGGTGGTCAAGTCCACTGAAGTTCCCTTTTCTCCTGCCTGCAGGACTGCAGTAGCACAGACTTGTTTCCAGGCACACTGATGAAAAAAACCTTTGCCTCCACTATTACTGATACAGATTTAAGAATCTCTAAGAGAAGATTTCAGAGAGCCCTTAAGCCATATGAGCACTTGGCAGGTGGTACCCTTCTGCCTTAAGCTGTGGTACTCACAGAGCCTGGGGTCCTCCAGCTGGTGATATCAAGGCACTCTCTAGATGAGCCCTTACCAGGGAAGCTGCAGTCAGGGGAAGGCTGTGGCAGGACAACGGGCACGTTTCTATGCTTGCATTGCCTGTGTATGTGCAGCCTCTGGGGCTGCTGTGTGTGCACAGAGACACAGTGTCTGTCTCTTGTGAATGTCACCAGGCAGAAATCCTGAGATGAAGACACAGGAGGTCCTGCAGGACTCCTGCTGCACCTCCAGCTGCCCCACAGCTGGTTGGGAACAAGGCTCTCAGATGATGGCTTCAATGACCGTGGGCTGAGGTCCCATTGTGCTGAAGAGTACAGTCATGGTCCGTGCTACAGTGAAAGACACACTGCAAGAAAGCTGCACTCAGTGTTACTGGGGAAGGAAGGTTGGGTGGAAGAGATGTTTAGCCCTGTTTCATGCCTTTCTTTGGCAGTAAAGATACCATTTCTGAACTACTGTTTTATGGACCGCTTTTTCCAGGATGCAGAAGAATGTGACACCTTTCCTCATCTGCAGGTGCTCAAAGGAATGACGCTAAAATGTCTGAGCCAGTTGCCTTCTCCCAGATAGCAGAAGGCATGAGGAAAGCAGTACTTCACCTTGCGAGTGAAGAGCAGGTTGCTGGGTCCTGCAGCACTGTCCAAGAGCCATCTCGGAGCTGTTTCAAGCTCATTAGACAAGGGAGAATCAAGAAGGATCAAGAGAAGTGATGACTGCTTAAACTGTTGACTGCATTTTTGATGCCAAATAGAAAAAAATAACTTCTTTACCTACAAATAATTTCTTATCTATTACTGCAGTGGAATCATGTTAGTCCACTGGGCTGCATGGACATCAATCTCTCTTTGGAGGTATTTTTGGTCTAGCTATGTCAGTGGAGGGCACTTTTTTCTGTCTCAGCTGTTTTACCATGTACCTTCTATTTCCCATGGGCATGCCTGTCTTGAAGCATGCAGGGCTTTATAAAGGTTCTGCCTCCTGGAGGCTTGAAGATTGCCTAGTCTAGTGGATGATCCATGCCTGTCAGAAAGGAGGTGTGAGCTCTCCTCATTAGTTATTAGTGAACCCGAACAGTTTTGGTGTCTGTGCCTGGAATGACCTGCTGCTATCTCATCTGGGGCAAGCAGGCTTTCTTTAGCACTGTGCTTTACAGTTCTCCACTGAGACCTTCATAGCTGTGCTGCTTGAGAATGTCTGCAGTTGTACTGCACTGGGCTTCTTTAACCTGTTGTCACTGTACATACCAGGGCTACATTGGACATTAGGAAGTAATTTTTCCCCTGGTGCAAAAATTCTTTAAATATTCTGATTTATACAATGCAGCCCAGTATAGGCTCTGGATCTTTGGTTTTAAATATTAATTTAAAAATAAATTTTTAAAGTTTGTTTGTTTGTTTTGGGGTTTTTTGTGGTTTTGGTTTGGTTTTGGGTTTTTTTTGTAATTTGCAAGAATACATGTAGGCAATCTAGCAGGCATCTAGACCGTGTAATTGTTCTAGTTTCATATCATTACTGCTTCCCTGGTCATCTCAGTAACTATCTTCCTCCAAAATCTTGAACTCCTTGGAATGCTGCCAGCCTATTACTGCCATGCCAAGTCTACATCCCACTCTTCTCAGGTAGTCATTAAAACCACTCTGCTTCTACTACCAGTGACCAGTCAGGTCAGCTCCAACCCTCCCTGGGTTCAACTCCGATCATGCCAGCACTGGCATAAATTAGGAATAGCATTACCATGGCCAAACAAACCTACACCTTCAGTTTTTAGGATTAGTGAGAGAGGAGAATCCTTCCCAGGGTGTCACACCTCTGGCCCACCTTTAACACACACATCATCATTATGGCCACTAACGTTGTATGTATGTGTATTTTTGTCAGCACCAAAGGCATTGGCTTCTTTATGCCAACCCCACTATGGACAGTGCCATGAAGAGAGGGGGGTATTCAGCTGGTTCTTGGTGGGTTTTTTGTTACCATTCCTTAAGAAATAGAGCTAAGTTGCATGTTTATCTCCAGGCTACTGAAGTCCCTATTGTTCACAGAAGGCAATGAATCATTTATGATTCTTATCACGGGGTATAATCAGAGTGATTAATTCTCTTGGACCTGTGATTTCTTCCCCAAGCACTGATACTCAGCAAAGTGACACTGAAATAAACCTGAAGCCTGAAAATAGTCTTTCATGTCTTCACCATCACCTACTGCTCACTAATAACATTACTTACAACCAGAATTGCTGCCCTCAGTTGATCAGTTATATGTTATTGCCACCATCTATAAAGGTGCTTGGTCAAAACACAGTTGTGGAGTTCATTAAAGAAAGACTCACAGAGTCACAGCCTTGCTGGCTCCTCGTCCCTCCTGGGCAGGGATCAGTGGCCAGACATCATGCACAAACCAACACCTCCCCAGAGCTGGGTCACCTCCCCCTGCACTGCTTGTCACAAATTTGGGGTCCATGAGATCAGCTCATACCACATCCCCCCGCAGCACAACACAGTGAGGGTTGTGCTGAGTCACCGCTTGTAGAGGGGAACGTAGGAATGGGCAGGGACTCTTGTGCCCAACACGAGCACCACCACCGACTCTTACCTCCCGCAGAATTTTGAAGGACTCTGTCAAAGCCTTGCTCACAGTCCCCACTCCTTTTGCCTGCAGTTCTTCCACCAGCTGCTTGAAGTGCTGGCAAGAAGAGAGTGAAAAAGACAGGAATGAGTTGTGGGCAGGGTGTTCCCTTTGGCCAGGGGAGGAAAGGGTAACCTAGACAAGTTCATGCCATTGGGCTCCTGCTCCTCCACTACTGCTGGCGGGGCAGGAGAGGTCAGCACTGGGATTGAGGGAGGTGGGAAAGTCAAATGGCCACTCCACTGGTGGCACAATCAGGTTACACCTTTGCCCATGCAGCTACAGCAGCACTGCATTTCTCAGTCTCTGTGCTGTGAACCATTGACAGCCCATGAAAAATCATGCCAGGGACAAACCCACTAGAAATCTGACTTTCCCTTATCCATTCCTTCAGGTAAAGAACATCCTGTGCATGCAAAAGCAACAGGATTGGGGGGGGAAGAAAACATTTGAATGCTTGTCTACTACTTAAGAGGCATTGTTGTACATTAAAACCTCGGAGTGCTCTCTGCAAATAGTGTTCAAAAGGCTTGGGGATCCTTTAGGAAACACTGTAGGAGATATCACCCTCTGAAATCATACTCTGTGACCAAGGCCCAAGCCAGGAAAAGGAATTTGGAGAGAAATCTAGTTTTTGAAGACATGGAGGAATGTGCTACCCTCTCTGGTATTAATATAGAGAGAAAAAAAGGAAGAAGAAAAGCCAGTATGAAGAGCTAAAAATAGCAGTCAGCCCAGAGGGTGGTGGAGCAGCTGGATGCAGGCTGACCACCTTGGGGCTGCAGAGGTCTCCTGGATCAGAGCAGCAAAATCCCTCACCAGGGAAAGCTTGCTGGCAGTCCACCCTGATGAAGGATAAGACCGGGCTGAGAACACATTCACCAGGAAAGGGCTGGTTTTTCTCCCTTCTGAAGGCTGAAGATGTGGGGTTTCAAAGTTGGTTTGCCCTCTGCACACTGTTTTTCCACAGCAGTCTGGACTAGGTCTGCTCGTGGTCCAACAGTGGTGACCCAGGAAAGCTGGCTGCTGCTCTTTAGTTAGCCAGCTGACCCCGTGCTACAGTGACTTCATGTAAGCAAAGATGAACCTCAGAGCCAGCATACACCACTGAACTGATGCTTGTTTCTGAAATGCAAACCACACACTGCTGTGAGATGGTTGTTCCTTGTCCCTGGAGTTTCGTATCTCAGCATCTTAACTCCATGTAATTCTCACATTAAGAGAGCTACCTGAATTACACTGATGGGAGCCTGGTACTCACCTCTCTGTTGTCTCTGTCTGCTTGGACCAGGATACCCTTAAAACAGGGTTCAACAAAATGAACATAATCATTGTACTGCAAAGAGAAAAGGGAAAGAAAGGGGTTGTAATGGGAGAAAATTCACAAAATGGGTTCATGTCTTTGGTGGACGTTCAGAAAGCAGTATGGAGCATTATGCTATTTTATACCTATTTCCCTTAAAAATTGCTTACAGTGATAATGGCAGATTACAATTTTGATAAATCATCTATTTGTTTAAATAACACATTAATTATAGTGTTTTGATGAGTTCTATCTGAGCATACCTACACAGCTTTTTCCCCACTCACACTATAGAGTTTTTATCCACACTCCATTAGCTCGTGCCCCTTCTAGCACTATTTGCACATAGTTCTGACTTCTGCAGACTTTGTGAGTCCCCAGCCACCAGCTGAACTTTGCGAGTGGTTTTGTAACCTGAAGCTTGGTGCCTCTGGGTACACAGCTGAGCAATAACATACCCGGTAACCACACCTCCACAAAATGGTGATAATTAGTGGGGTGTATGCTTCTAGCCTGGCATGTTTTACCTCAGATGTGGAAACCTTTTCCTACAAGGTTCAGAAGAGTGTAATTCATAAGAGGCTCAGCTGATCAGTAGGAGGTCAGGCTATAATGTGTCTGAGCCAGTAGGTTCTTGGTGAGAGTGCAGTAAAGGAGTATATATATTATAGGTCTTTCTGGGATTGTTTTTGAAGAACAGATGATATTTCAAACTCCTTAATGACTCCTCTCCATTTTTCTGCCAACACTGTTCACTCTTCCATCTGTCCAGCCATATAAAGACGGAGCTGTTGCCATTGGAGTTTCTAATTATCTAACATAAAAAGCTATCGACAAAAAGTAGACTTTATATCTCAGTTTCTGTGCCCTGGCAAGCTTTCATGGAAAGGAGCTTGGGGAAGGACATGATGCTGAAATAGCCTTGAAAATTAGAAGGTGAGCAGCCTTTAACCTGACACCAGTCTTGGCAAGTCATGGAAAGGTTTTGCTTTCTGTGGTCAGTGGTACCAGTTCTCTGTGGGTAACCAGCCCATCCTTATCCTAGTCAGGCCTTAAAAAGGAAGAGAATAACACCAAGACAACCTGACCAAACTCCATGCAGGCCTGTGCAGATTGACTCTGAACTGTAGTGGCAGCCTTGCAGGATGCTGGTGCACAAAAAGGCACATGGTGGTGATTTTCTAGCCCGGAAACATTATCCTGAGGATTACACTGCTACTGGACCCAAAGACAGCATTCTAAGCTAGGTGAATTTATTAGCTCAGGTCCCTGCTATCTTAGGTGTCTCTCTATAGCTCCTTGTTATCTGTTGCAGTCACACCCTCAAGTAAGCAAAAAGATGCAGCTGACATACTCTGTAGAGGAGAGGTGAAATGACTCAACAGCCACCCTGCTGACCACACAAAGCTGACTTCCCAAGGGTAATTTTTGTTACTCTCCCATCCAACATAGCTCCTGTAGCTACATCACTGGAATGCCTGTAATTTGCTAAGGGGAAGGAGAAGTTGGTAAGAGGCACAAGGAAGGCAATTCAGTGTTAGAATTGAGACAGACATACTGCAATGATGTTGACGAAGTCATTTTCTCCCAGAGTATCTAAAATGGTGACAATGGTGTGCTTGGCAATGGTCATCCTCAGGCCCTTCATGCTTCCACTGACATCCACAATGATGACAATGTCCTTGGGAGAGGTGGCCGCTTGGATGTACCTGTATAAAAAGAAGAGTACGAGAAAGCAGGATGAGCATCCAGGGAGGAGGAATGCTGAACATACTCATGTCACACAGTGCTACCCACAGCATAATATGGACCACGAGCACAGCTATCCAGCAGGATCAGGCTGATCATACCAGAGGTCCCTTCCTACCAACCTACCCCTTCCACTGGCCCCAGCACCTCACTTCCTGCATTGGGAAGTGCTGGGTCTGCTCTAGACACACGTCCAAGAGTGACCATTGCTAAAGCCTTCTTTAGGCAAGCTGAGTAGACTGAGTTAATATGTCACATTTCCAGAGTCTAAGTGTCCCTCCCACCAAACTGCAAAATTATAAGGAGAATGGGACAGAGAAAGGATACACTGGTGATTTCTGTGTAGATCCCATATGAAAAGCTGTTGCTGGCAGGTGATAGGGCTTCCTGCCATTACCTGTGTTTATGTACCCCCCATCTCTCACAAAAGCAGCACAGGACAGTAACTGTTTCTCAGCAACTCACCAAGGTGTCACCTTGGAAAAGAGAGAGAGAGGAAGGCTGAACGGTGCTTTGGCCACATCTCTCCAAAACTTACCAGCCACGGTTTCTGCAGTCAAAGGAGATGACTCCATTCTCATCTGGTAACCATTTTATCCCTGAATAGAGCAGCAAAAAGAGCAATCAATACACACAGGCAGGCATTTGCTCCCTGCTCCCCAGGCACTGGCACTGCTGCTCTTCACTGCCGAGACTGGGTAACCCTGTGGGGCCCACACAAGTCTGGCCAGGAACAGCAGCACCCATTCTGCAGAAACCCAAGCAGAGCTGCGTGGTCTTTGGCAGTTCTCAGTAGACTGTTTATAAAGGTTTTGTTAAAAAATGTACCTAGGCGTAGTCTGTTCAAATTTGGGGAGCAATTGCATGTACTTTGAACTTTTGCCACTTTGATGTAGTTCTCAACAATGTATTTTTCTCCCCGAGGGTGGCTGAGAGCATAAAAACGCAGCAGCGGTGACAGGGATGTGTCCCAGATTCCCTGCTAAAGGCTCTGTTCACAGTCTTCCCTGCTTTCCCCTTCTCCAGCACGTGACAGGTCACAGAACAAGGGCACACAGCCATCCGACGGAACGGCCACCAGGCCAAGCTACAGCTGCAGAGTATCTCGAGGGTTCCTCTGAGCATGGGACCTCCCTCTCGTGCCATGACCTTATGTGCCACTCACAGCTGGTGAGTGGATAACAAGTCAGGCCGGCCAGCTGCATCTGCCACGTGTGTCCTCCGAAACAGAGAGAGGCTTTGGCCACTACTAAAAAGCCCAGGGGAGCATGAGGCAGGGAGCCCTGCCATGGGGGAGGTCTGCCATAGTGTTCACTGAGCTTTTTGGAGGGCAGACTGCCTGAGGCATACCCCTGCCATCAGACTCCTCTGGGGTTTCAAGGGCAACATACCTGGGGGGCTGGTTCCCATGGGAAAAAGGGGGTTATGCCTGCTGGACACTGTTCCTTCAGCTTAAGCAGCCCATGCAGTAAGTATTTTGCTCACTGCACCCTGCCCTTCAATGCTCCCAGCCTTCCCAAATTGGACTCTTCCATGGCACAGACCCTGTCCTGCAAAACTGTTGTGTTGCACTGAAAGACAAAAACCAATCTGCTCTTTCACCTGGATAGAGCCTGAAGAATCCAGTGGAGCTGCCGAAGTACTGCCAGGTCAGCGTGGGATCCCTTTCAAAGTTGTCCACAAAAATAGGATTCAGGGCTTCTGACATGTAAACTCCATTAAGGATGGCAGGGTCTGTGGGGGGAAGAATAAAAGTGGGGAAAAAAGTGTGTAAAAGAAGGAAGGACATGTGCCACCCTGACAGAGAAAAGGGATGGGAACAGAGGAAACTCCAGGAGGAATGCACCCTTATCCAAAGCTTTTGCATTGGGCAGGGAGTTGGATGCATCATTCAAAATAAATCCTGGAGGTCAGGTCACCACCAGCCCCTGCAGGTGATCTCAGCATGGTCATATTCTGTTAACCTCATTTCTCTTTCCAGCCTTGTCTGCCCTTGAGCATTACATCTGGTTGGAAGAATGCTCTGAGAGACCCAGACAACCATCACTGTGCCAAGCACAGCTGGCACACCATACAGCTGGTACCTGAGAGGGGACCTGTGGCTGTTGAAAAGCAACTGCCTGATGCACCACTAACAGCCTGTCTGCAAATTGTGTTTAAATTCATGCTAGGTGTAACTACCTAAGACAGAGGAGTCCTAGAATTCACACAGTTTCTCTTTTGTCTTTTCCTCAACAATTCTTTTTTTCTTTGCCTGCCCTTTCTCTCACAAAGCCTGGGCTGTCCTACCTCACCCCCATCTCATCAGAATCAATAGGATGTTGCAGATTCCAAGAACTCCTAAAGGGCCATGTATATTTGGTGTCTGTGTTGACTCATTGTCTCAGGAGTCCAAAGAGCAGCAGCAGTAGAAACAGGGAATCATGAGAAACTGGTCGTTCTATTAATGTTGAAAGGGTTGGGGATTTGACCCACCACTTCCTGTTTAGTTACTTTACTAAAGGCAGTTTTGGTCAAAATAAGGGAAAAAATGAACTGTGACTCCACAGTGATGAGGTCAAAGTAAGTCTCATAGGAATAGAGAGCCACAAGAGCTGTGGAGAGCCAGGTTTGATGCTGTTCGCAAAAGAAGGAGTGAGCACTGCTGGACACTGCTCCTTGGATGATCCCTGGACATGGAAGCAGCCCTCCATGTCCTGCTCATCCTCCAGCCATAGCCAGAGGAGCTGGTTAGTTTGTGCCAAGCTGTGCAGGCAGGAAATCAGCCAGCTGGGCAGTGCCTCTCTGCTGTCTCTACCAGTGGCCATTTGACCACCTCTCTGTCCTCTGCTGAGGGCAGCAGCCTACACTGTGCAGCTCTGCTGTATCTGCCCACAGCCAGCTCTGCTGGTGGCTCTATTGTGAGCAAGATTTTAGTGTCTGGGGCTGTTGGACCAGATGGAACTAATTTAACATCATGGGAGAAATAGAACTCCCTCTATTGTCTCTCTAAATAACACAGCAGTTGTGAGCACAGTCACCAGCGCCTGCCCTGTCTGGCCCTGAAGACTTTAAATGAGCTCCATCGATGAGAGAAGCAATGGCACTTTTTTTTTCTTGTCAAAAACATACACAAGGGGAAGAGCTGGCAGGGAGGCAAGGAAGGAGCCAGTACAGGCAGCTCTGAATGTTGGCCAAAGTGAGCTGTAAACTTAAGACAGTTGCAACTGGTGTCTCAACCTGCAGATATGGCTGTGTGCTCACCAGCCCGGAGATGAACCCGGTTCTGGGGTGTAGTTGGAATGGTGTGAACGTGCCCTTGGTGCCTCCCTGGGCTCCTGCAGCTGCCAAGGTGCCAAAGGCTTGCTGAGAACAGAAAACAGCCCAGAACAGTCATGTCCCAGTAGCAATTGTGAATCATCCTTAGTCACCTATGGATATGCTCACTGAGCATTAAGAGCGTCCTTGTCAAGTGTTAATGTCTCCTGACACGAAGGTACTTGGAGTCTCAGTTCTCAGCTGAAATCAATGAGATCCTTGACGTCTAAAGACCTTGATAGATCCAACCCTTCCTATAGAGCAACAATTGCCAATAAAGGCACATCAGTTTTCACAGCATCTTTGTTTGAGTAAATGAACTGTAGGAGAATATACTGCCTGCCTAAGATGGAAGACTGTCCACCATAAGAGGTTTTCCAAGAGCAGATTATACCTAAGTCCTGTCACAGTGATAGAGGACAGCACAGGCATGACTGTGCCTTGGGTTAGTACCTTTCCAGCCTTGGTTTCTTTTCTGTAAGTTGTTTTTTTTCTATTCCCATCCTTGTTTCCAGTATCATTACTGATAATTCCCACAGCAATCTACTAGTAGTGAGAAAGTAGAGGCCATTACCTTTGTTGTAGACATTGGTGGGGAGCTGGATATCACTGTATGTTGTGTTCACCAGCAGGTTATTGAAATGCTCATTTGGCTCCAAAATGAATTCATCTCCAAGTTCCACATAATTGTCATTTTCATCCTTCTCATTAATCAGGACAGAGTTGTAGTAATCAAACTGTTGATGAAGACAATGGAAAAGAGAAAGACGAAGAGAGAATAAGACAGACTATTACCAGTGTGGCTGTAAAAAACACTCTTTAAAACATAAAGAAGGGACATATGGGGAATTGGGGCTTCAAACAGGATCAAGATGAGCAACAAACAAGCTACTATCAAATGAAAATTGCAAAGCTACCAAAATGATGATTGCTGGCCAACTTCTTATTGTCAATAAGAAATGACTGAAAGCATGGCCATAGCCCGGAGCAGAAGAGCCACTGAAGAGCAAAGGGACACAGTGGCAGACTCCTGTGGTCCCTCAGAGGTATTTAAGTGATTAGTTGGAGAGCTGGAGTGTCTCACTGGGTCTGGCTCCCAGGTTTAATACAAGGCATGTCAGTGCCGACCTTACTTGCCCTGTCTCAACAGCTGTCATTTGCTAGGGTTAACTCCTGGTGTACATCCAGCCAGGATTATCCCCTCATTCTGTCACTCCAAGTGGCAGGCACTCATCGAGAGCAAAGGATCAAGCAGAAGGTGCTCAAAGACAACATCGTTTCCTCCCTGTGAAGGTCAATGGGGATTTATCATCTACAGTCACTTTAGTACATTTAGGACATTCTTCGTCCTTGGATAACCTGTTTTTAAGATGTTTTTGCTGATTTTATCTTAGCCAGAGGTTATTTAAGGATTTATGTTCAAGCACCATCAGTATTTAGAGGGTGCAAATACCAAATCATGTACCTCAACTCACCCATGACCCTTACTGGGAATGCAGGTGACCCAACTATCATGACTAATGTGATTCTTAAAAACAAACAAACAAAAAAACCCAAACAAACAACAAAAAAAAAGAGGTAGAAGAGATGAAATTAGTAGCTAGCCTGATTTCAACAAGTGTTTTCATTCTCAGCTTTTCCCTGCACTGAGATGTCTACTAGCAGGGTTAGCCTGCACTTCTGCTAATATATCTGTGCTTGTAATACGGACAGAGGACTTCCTTGAACAGAATTTTCCCTCCAGTTCCCCTCACCAGCAATAATCCCATAGCTTGGCCACAGCTAACAGTTATTAACAGAAAGCCAATTATCCAAATTGCTTGGACAGCACCAAACTTTCACCTAACGGAAGTCCTGACAAGTGGGTGCCTGTCTGGTAGAGAAAAGATGGTGGGAGCTGTTGAGAAAGATGGTGGGAAGCTCAGTTCATTTGGATTAACAATTTGCTGTGGGTATTTGTAACAGCATCCTCCTCGTTGCTCATTCACACTCAATTTTTAGCTCATTTTCCAGTCAAGTAACCCACCAAGTGCCAGCTAATTTGCACTAATGTACCACATAATGATAGTGTTGGTCTGCAGTAAAAGTTATGCCAATAATATCACACAACCTAGTGTCTTCCCAAACCCTTCCCCTCCCAAAGCCAAAGAACTAATCTCTTTGGTGTTATTAGATTTGGGATCTGCCAGGGGAGTCTCTTATTCACAGTAGTCTCTAGACAAGCTGAGTGTCCTGAAGGCGAGGAGATTCCTAACCTGCCCAGGAACCTGAGGTGGCTGGGTTCCTGGCTAGGCCTATCTTTTGACTGGTCTCTCTGAGGATGTGTGTCATATTTTGTCACTGACCAGGATAAACTTACCTCCAGTGAGGAGTTGTACTCGTGGTTCAGATCTGCGTCTTCTGCTGCTTCCACCAACCTCTAATGCAAGCACACAGAAAGAAAGATGAGTGGGTGCTGTGGCAAGCCCTCCAGAAGCTCTTCCAGCTTTATCAGCCATTCACACAGTTAATGAAAAGGCACGACTGCCTCTTTCACCACAAGAGATCGTGGAGCTATAAACTTCCCTCTTTCTCTCCTTTTCTGCTGACCTATCATTCTGTGCTGCAACTTTATAGCTTGGAAGGTATATTTGGAACTATTTATTGCCAGGTATATTCACACCTATTTACTGCAGAGTCCCAACTAAAGCCCTGAGCAATTTTAGGTATCACAGGACATATACAAACAGAAACAGGTCCATTTAGAGAAACAACAGACAGAGATTTAATTTCATTTTCTGTGAACCCTTCCAAAAAGCCATGGGAGAGACTTTTCAGACCCAGCTTGATGTCAGTATCTCATCAAAGGAAAAGGCCTTGTGGGAGTCTCAGTCTGGTATTGTTACTGAGACAAAGACCATGACTTGATTTCATAAAGGGCTCAGTGATGCTGTGGCCATTTATAAGCTCTTACCATTTATGGAAGGCAGTAAAAATCAGCCAGTGTTCTCCAGTATGATGCTTCAGGGCACTAATTCTCAATTGGTACAGACTGGGAAGGAATCCAGCTAAACATGTACATGTTTTCAGGGTTGCACAATCAGCAACAGTCTCAGCAAAACTACGTTTTGCTCCTTCACAAAGGATAAGGCAATCCAAACACTGGAAAAGTCTGGCTAAGAATTTAATGTCACAGGCCAAAGCTCTGGGTTTAAATATGCCCACATTTCACTTTGAGACTCAAATGATGTGTTTCTGGATGACTTTTCCACATTAGATGCCTTAAACAGTCAAGGCTCTGTGACTACAGAAATATGCTTTTCATAGAAGGTAAATACACAGGAATATGATAAATCCTTAGATGGAGGAAGTAAGAGGGGCCATAACCATTACCTGCTCTGATCTCCCACACAGCAACAGCTAAAGACCTCTTGCCACCTCCTCCACACTTCCCCATGTACACAGCTAGAAATCCAAGCACCTTCCTTGCAGCTCATGTTCAGGGGGTGAAGAAATTTCCCTTGAGCCACACACACAGCTGAAACAAGCTACTAGTCTTCAGTGGCCAGAGTGCATTATGCAAGGATGAACTTTATTTTCATTTGTGAGGGGTTTTTTTTTTCCCCTCTTAAAACAGCTCTTGTCTCCTAAAAGTTTTCATTCCCTCATATTTATTCTTAGGCTTTTTTTAATCTTATTTCCTACTTTGGGCTGAGGGAGAAGCCAGCATTCCCTTGTCTGAACGCCCACATCCTCCCACCAGTGTCTGCTTAAAGCTCGGAGTGAGCAGCCAGCCGCACCAGCAGGAGTTTGGTTGGGCAAAGTCCTCACACAACCTCTGCGCCCACACACTCCTGGAACAGGCAGGAGGCCTGTGCCTGCTGCTCTGGGGCTGACTGAAGGAGAGGACTCCCTTCCCAGAGCCCCAGTGGTCCTACCTCGACAGCTTCGACCTTCCTGCGGAGCATGCTTTCCATCTGCTCCGAGAACTTCTTCACCAGCTCCAAGCCATCCACCTCTTTGATCTTCAGAGTTGGCTCCACATCTTTGTACTTCTACCCAAGGGGAAAAAAGAAAATGCTGTTAAGGAGGAGGCTCGTAAGGAGTGAAGTGAATCTCTTATTGCTGACTGGATATTGTCTTTGGTGAAGGAAGAGGTGTTGAAGGAACTGCTCTGATTTATCACCTTCTCCCATCTTTGCCTTTCCTCCTTTTTCACCCCACAATTTGAGTGTGTGCAGATCACTGGCCATAGCTTGAAGCATTTTGACTAAGTAAAAGCAACTGATCCAATTGGGAACTTGTGGCTGTTGAAAACAGCAATGTACCTGGACCTATTAGTGCCTACAAATTTGAGAGAGAGAAGCAGAAGGCCAACTTTTAAAAAAAACACCTAAATCGCAGATTGTGATTACATCCATAACAACATTAGACATGTCACATACCTGAAGTTTAATTAAGGCAGAGGGAAGAGCAAGGGACCAGAGCTGTATACTGTCATTAACATCTCCTCCTATGTCATATGTGCTCTGGGGCAGCAGTGGGAGGGATGTCATGTTAGTGCATGTGCTGTCCTCCCACAGTGTCATCATATCTGTAAGGTAACTTGCCAGATCTCCAACAAGAAGAGTCTTCTCAGTGCTTAGGTGGGAGACTGCCAAGGAAAGCTAATATAGACAGTTATGATGCTAATTATCAGGCACCCAGGAGCGTGCTTTAAGCCAAGAGCACCATACAGGCATTTCCCAGAAACTAGGAATTAGAAGTGTGGCTGCTTAGTGCTCCTCCACTGGGAGAGATGCTGTGATGAGGAAGATCTGGATCTGACAGCTTTAGAGATAACTGGTTTCTTCTGACCAGGTTTCATATAATCTAGGCATTAAAAAACCCGAGAGTACTCCCAAACTGTGTAACTAATCTGCCTCCTTAAATCTGCCCTTTTGAGGGTGGATACAATGGCCTTTATTTCTGCTTTTCAAAAAATCCCACAGCTAACAGAGATAGCCAAAAGGAAAGAGTAAAAAAACCTGCCAAAGGACACAGTATGATTAACCTATTCAGAAGAGACACAGCCTTATCTCCTCAGCAATATGGAAACATGGAGGCAACCAAGTGCAATTCCCTGGTCCCTCATCATCAGTTTTCTCTGCACTGTGCTCAAACCCTCTTCATGTTGTGCTAGCACCACAGCAGCAATCTCAGCCAGGGCTGGACTTCTTGTGCTGGGAAAAAAAATGAGGTGTTGAAAAGGAAAAGGAGATGGCAGAGGCTTTGGTAACACTTTCGAATTAGAAGAAAGTGGCAGAGAAAGGACTTTGCATGTCCTTAGGGTGAGCAAGCGGAGCTCCTTTTGTTCCAGCAGCTCCTTGATGGTCCGGGAGGGCAGCCGAGCACAGGCAGAGTAAGAAACGCCTTGAGGATGGGGCAGGCTGAGGAGGTCAGACAGAAATAGCAGCAGCATCCAGCCTGCAGCAGGCATGGCAGGGAGGCTGCTCGCTCTGTCTGGCATGATTAACGGCGAGGGTTTTACTGGATTAAAAACGCCAGGCCTCGCATCCCCTCCGCTGCGGCTGGGACAGGCAGGCAGCGGGGGAGGAGGAGGTGGGGTTGAGCACGAAGGGTAGTGTAACCATGCTGCAGGAAGAGGAATGTGCAGCGACAACCCCCCGAGTGCGGTCCCTGGCCGCTGACGAGACCGGAGCACATCCCAGCTGGTGTCTGTCCCATTTAGCTCCATGTCATGGTTTCGTCGGGAGAGGAGTGATCTCTGCCAGGCCAGGCTTTAATCAGGCCCTCCTCGGGGGGAGGAGGGTAATCTCTCCTGGGAAAGCTAACGAAGGGGGGGGACCACATCAGCACGGGCTTCACAAAGTGACCTGCCACCCGTTGCCTCGGGTCACATCTTCAATTAAAAACCAGGTCTTTTTACCTCTCAATTGTTTTTTAATGTGCTTTTCACACATTGACAAGCAGATGCTCACAGGGTAAAAGTTATCACAAGCAATCGTGAGCACTCTGCTAATACTGTACATGCCTCAGGCCCAAGATCTAGCCAGAGCTGGGAAGAAAAAAAAAAAAGCAAACCCAAACCAAAAAACTTTCTGCAAGATTTGGTTCGCTGAAAGAATACATCAAGTTTGAGCTCAGATCCTCTTTGAGTTTTTTTCCTACAAATGAACCAGCAAACCACTTTGTGCCTGTATTTCTGCCGCTAAAATCTCCTGCTATTAATGACTATTGACTCCGAGAGTTTCTAATGGTGGGAAACAAAGTAGTACTTGTGATTTCAATGCTGTTACCAGACACCAGGGCTGAAAGTCAAAGCAGGTGCTTGTAGCTGGCCAAGATTATCCCATGCAACCTGCATTTAGGGTTCAGATAATCAGATCATTATAATTTACAGAACACGAATCAGGCCTGGGAGAACTGGCTGGAAGGATCTGATGTTGAAAAGAGGCCAAAAAGTTAGCTCAGACCTAACAGAAAATCTTTTCTTATTCAGCTAGTACTTAGCACTCCCTTAAAACAGCAGGAGCAATTCATTAAGATTCGCCTTCTGCAGCATTGGGGGTGGTAATTTAAAAGTGGAATATCCAGAATTCAGTATCCTAAGTTTTATCTGTGAACAGAGATATGTCACCAAATATATTTTCTTGTTCCCACCTCCACAAAATTTAGCCTATTGAAATACACAGTGCTCCATTACTCACTGCTAGTGGAACTATATTAAGAGTGTGAAAGACATGCCTTTCATCTTCACCCAGGAAAAAGTCTTGACTGAACTTCTTGAGTTTGTCTGTTCTTTGCCATGTACTTTTTTGTTGCACTTTCTAGTAATTGCAGGGCTGGAGTCAAGCCCTGCTGTCCTTTCTCAACTCTATCCACTGGGCAGGGCAATCAGCACCTCAGCTATAAAAGAGAGCAGGAGATGATTCTCAGAAACACCTGTAGTGCATTGTTAACACAGCAGAAGGAAATTTAAATTTTGGGTCTGCTGAAGCTGATGGTGTTTCTGACACTTAAAGACAAGCCCTGAAAAGCCCAGAGTCATCTCCTGGCATGGCTGCCCTTGGTGTTCCTGAGCCTATGGTCACTGCTTGGCCAACTGCAGCAGCAAGGCTGTGGCAAACACCTAATAAGCCACAGGTTCAAACTTCTGTTCCTTTGCTCTGTGAGACCCTTCTGCCCTCCCCCTACTCACCCTTTCACATTGCTTCTTTACTCCAGCCCTGTTGCCCTCAGCTGTCCCAGGCCACAGCCAACACTTGAATACAGATCCATCCTCTCTGAGCCAGGTTTAAGTGTGCATAATGGGCAAGGGAATACAAGACAATGAATGCTTCAGCCATCAAGCCAAAGCCACTTGGCTTTTGCTTGCCTCTGTGAGATTTGACATCCTGCCTGCTTGGGACTGCCAGCCATCTGAGAGCTTTCTTAAAGATTTCTGATCCAGGGTAAAAGCCTGTCCCTGTGGATTCAAGGGATGTCTACTGGTTCACCAAGTCTCTGGGAATGATAAATCCTGGTGAGAAGTCAACCATTTGGGTTTGCAACATGATATTAAAGTTATTCTGGAGGAAGCAAACAAAAAACCCAAAGAAAACCAAGCAAACTCAAAGCCACAAAAGAAAGTTTATGCTTAATGTTAAAGACAAGGTTTACATGCAAAGCATCCAGTAACTGAGAAATTATGGCTCTCAAAGCAACAATAAGCTAGTTACTTCAAGACTATTAGGCACAAGGGAGACGTGAAGAAAAATACAAAATATGCTGTTATCTCTCAGTCTGTGTTTCGTCAAAGGCAAAATGCCCATTGACTTAGACAAGCACTGAGAAAAGAATTGCCTGGACCTCTGCACTGTGCTCCCCACCATTCTGCTGGTCTGCACAAAGAGAAATATTTCCCATGGAAAAGAGGCAACAGCCCAAAGAAGAGAAAAGTGCCGGGGAGCAGGCAAATCCACATGTTTGATTTTCAGACTTTGGTGTATTTGGCTCCCCAGGCATAACTCATCCACAGTCTGTGCCAATATGATGATCTACATAAAGTTATTTGGGGTCTGCCACTCTGCATGAAAGTGTTGCCTAACAGTAAATGACATGCCTACATCCACTTGAAACACAGAAGGTGCCAGAAATGCAGGAGGAGCCCTCCAGAATGGTCCCTGCTTTAAGATGAGGATTTGTGAGAAGGTGCCTGACTTACTGCTCTACTAAAGAAACAGAGGCTGAGAGAAGGACTGAAGTGGGTGCTGGCTGGTTCTCCTCTATTTCCTTACCACAGGGAAATAAGGGGAAATGAAAGAGCTCAAGAAGTGGGGCTTCAGGGTTGAAAGGTAAATCTGAGCTGTTTAAACTGCTTAAGTAAAGTTAGGGCAGGGAAGGACACAACATGCATTTAGGAGATGACTTTGCTGGAGCGTTTACAGAACAAGGCTGGATCCAGCTTATCTGTACCCCCTGCTGGAAGTTGACATTTTCCCCTCTCAGTCACAGATAACACTGTACTGCACAAAGCACAATCAGTCTGTGCTGTATCCAGGCAAAAGCAAACCAAACACCTTCCCCTCTCCAAGATGAAAATTGTGTATATGGAGCAGGCAAGTGCTATTATTTTATAAGGCTGTCAGACCATCAGGAAAATATAGGTCTGCCTTAGTTCCTCCTGACGTGAGTACTAGATTGAATTTGGTTACATTTGGACTTCTTTTTCATCAGAAATTAGTTTTCTTCACTTCTGGAGAATTACACCAAGCGCTGATAAGAGTTGTGAATTTTGGTTTAAGATAACTATGACTCTAATTTTTAGTGGTACTATACTAGCATCTACAGGTCTCACATAACCCCTATGCCAAAGGGATCAAGATCCCAAGAATAAAACCCACAGCGTGGGCAGAGGTAGGTAAGGCAATCTGGTGCAATATATCCAAAGTGCCAGCACAGCACAGCTGCCTTGACAGTCACCCCAGTGCCACATCTGCCATCCTTGTCCTGCATTGCTATCTTCCACAACGCTGTATTTTCAAGCTAACTCTGGTTCTTCTTAGTCCCACTGACTTTTGGACCTCAAGGAACATGAGCTCCCTTAATGTGTTAGTATAAATAGCCACAGAAGCAGTGCAAGTTGCCTGTGTTGACCCACACCTATACGGCATCAGCCAGGTACCTGACTATCAAATAACCCCAGCCCGTATCTCCTCCCCACTGAAGCTCCAGTACTCACCAGAGATGCCTTAGCATGTCACTTTGCCTCTGGCAACTATTGCCTGGGGTCCCCATGGATCGATAGGCAATGTGGAAGCATCATCAAAACTGCTACAAGGTAAACTTTTGCCTTATCAATACCCCGCTGCAGCTGCCTCATGGTTAATGCATGAAGTACCTATATCAGTGCTGATAGCTTTTAATTGCCTTGTGACCCTTTCCTCCCAAGAAGAACTGATGATCACCACAGACCTTTGTGATGGATGCTGAAAGCCTTTCTTGGCCAAAGCCTAGCAAAGCTGATGCTGCAGGACGTGCTCCCTTACTCAAGACAAAAAGCAGCACTCAGGGGACAGGGAAACAGGGCTCAGCAGCAAGGAAAGGAAAACTATTTCCACATCCCTTTTTTTGCATTGGGATATGGGTGTTATTACTAACATGGGTGCAGAAATCAGACACCTAGGAGGCCTGAGAGGCAACTCATTACTTGTCTTGAAGAGGAGAATCATAGAAAGAGTAAAGAAAAAGAACTGAAGTAGAGAAGTGACACATGAAGTAGAGAAGTGACTGCATTTCTGAGGCCCCCTCCAGTCCCCCAGAGCAGCACAGAGGGTGGAGATCACCAAGTCTGAAAGAGGAGCAGCCATTCACCACTGACTTAAGGAAACTCCTCTAGAGCTGCAACTGGGATTATTTGTTTAAAGCCCCTGGAGCTACACCCTTTAATGCTGGTAGAGAGTTTAGTGTAACAGAGCCTGTTTGGTGATGAAGCCAAGCAGAGGTCTGTGCCTCCGGAAGATCATGACTTCCAAGGGCACCTACCTCAGGGACCTTGTCCAAAGCAGAGTTTCAAGGACAAAATTCAAAGGACTGATGAACAACTGGATGAATACTGATGAGGAAGCAGTAAGAAATAAGTGCCAGCTGAAGAGCTGCAGGAGGGGATGATGGGGTGACAACAAGCAGGTGAGTGATGAGCAGCAGAGGGACTGATTTAGACTTGGGAAAGGAGAAGCAAAGGCACAGTATGTGAGGGCATGAAATAATCATTAGAGGGGAAACATAGGGAGAAAAATAGAAACTGTTAGAAAGTATTAGTTAAAAGGGACAATTTAGGTGGTATTTGGCAATGGCTAATGAAACAGGAAAGGCATTAAACAGATCCCCCCTCTCCAGTACATGGAGAATGGGCACAGAGCATCACTCTGTGCTCATGGATAGATTTGAAAGATAGCTGGAGACCTGTGCCTTTTTCTTTTCTTCCACACCAGGGGGAAACCTTGGAGGGCTACGCAGGGAGATAATGTGAAGCAAAGGGAACCCTCACACATTTTGCCTACCTTCTGCAACAGGAGAGAGCCTGAATACTTAGTCACAATGGAGTACAGCTCCCCACCAAAGGCATCTGCCCAGGACTTCACCCTAAAAAGACAAAAAGAAAAGGAAAGTCAATGTTAATAAATCAAAGTCTGCCCAACTTCTCACTTTTTCAGACAGAGAAAACCCCATCTTTCCAAGTATAAACCCTGCTCTATTCCTCTAAGCTACTATAATAACAATGTTTTTTTTCCCAGACTGCTAGCCAGACAAGCAGTAAGGCAGGAGACAAGCACTGCTCTTGGACATTTGTCAGCAAGGGGAAACATTGAGTTCTGCTGGTCTTGGTCATTATGTTTGGAGTTGAAATTTTCTTACCTAACTTTAGAGGTACAATTTTCATCTTAGGTATCATCTGTTTTCCTTCTATTGCCAGCAAAGTGAAATAAATAGCTTTCTGCAGACACCCATTTATCTTCACTGACAGGGCTTGGGGTGATGGGCTAGACACCCAGGGTCAGGACTGCTGAAGAGAAAGAAGTGTCAGACTTGGAAGAAGTTGTCAAGATTCACCCCTTGGATTCAGCTCCTGCAGCGGTGCAGGCCAGAGACTAATAAGGCAGATGAATTCACTGCTCTCAGTGGAGACACTACTGCTTGATGATGCCACAGTAGATTATGCACCTCATCATTGTAAAGCACTACTCACATTCGTGCCATCCTATAAATAATTGACTGTAGCAATACCACATGGAGAACATACGGATGCTAAAGAGCAGCCTGAACACAGAGCCATCCAAATCAAAATAGATGGCTCTCATAATTGACAGAGCACTTCATCAGAAATCTGTTACACGATCCACATTAGGCAGTTCCACCTACAGCTGCAGTTCCTTCAACAAGGATTCACTTCAGAGAGATGTCTCTAATGCAGTAAGTGGCCTTCTCCACTTACCTGAACACACCACTTATTTATGGTGTGCAGTCTTACCTATGGCTTCCAGTAGATTTCTTTGAGTCCCAAGCAGACTTTAACCTCGGGGCCTGATTCCTCAGTGCATTGCACCACAAATAATACACCAACACAGAGAGGGGCTCTGGAGTGAAGCCAGCATAGCAATGGTAGAATAATCACAACTGCTAGCTTTAGCCTAGGAAAGCCTGTTTAGACTCCCCTCTTGCAAACAGGGACTAGGCAGCTCCAGGCAATGATTTGGAACAGACACAGGACTTCAGCTCTGATCTGCACCTCTCTCCACTGCCTATAAAAAAAGCATGAGGGAGTGGGTGCCTTTTTAAATCACTCCTTAATTGGCAACAAGGCATTTGTTTTTAACCACTGAGTGTGAACTAGCACCAGCTGAAGCAATTTTGATTTTTCTTGCATTGTGCTCTGCATCTTATTTTGAGAGCCAGAGCTTTTATCTCATCATGTCATCCTTAGAGAAAAAAGAATACAAGTATTTTCTAGGAGACCAGGATTTATTGGGCCATATCAGAGTTATTTTAGCAAGCCTAGAATAAAAGAGGAAATCAGAAAGAGGGATCTCATGGGATGCTTTCTTGTTTGTTGTAGTAGTGACTAACACATTCCCTTAGATATGAGGATCTCTGGATCAACAGCTAACTTGATGCCCATCTGCTGCTGCTGGCTTTATAACTTTTATGTATGAGATGTTTTATGCTGATATTAACTGATATTCTCCAGTCTCCTCACCTCTTACTGTAGAAAGAGAGAACATAAACATGAAGCTTGGGATAGTAATTTTAGCAGGGGTATTTACTTTTACCCCATTTGCCTCACAAAAATGGTGCACTTGACCCTGGCCTTTCTGTTCAGTGTCATGTCTGTGGCCATGTGTGTGCCCCTACTCCTTCCAGCCCTCATCATTTTTCAACCCAGCAGGGTGGAAGTGTCTGTGGTGTTAATTTCTGATTAGCGGGTGTAGTTGAGCATCTTGAAAGTTCTTGAAGCTTCCAATAATGGCATAACTCAAATAAAAAGGTTGAGGTTTGTATAATTTTGGGGTTTCTGTGTGAGTGTTCTATGTGTCGAGTGGACCCTTACCCTGGGAGGGCTCTCCCAGCCACTTCTGAGCCACTACTCTGGCTCAGGGGCTGATATTTCTTGAAGCAGAAATAGGAGATGCAAGGGCAAGGGGGACCAAAGAGAGGGCCAGAGACTGGCAGAACTGGAGAGTTTGTTGGAAAGTTAGGGGGCACAGAGGAATTGGAGGCACAAAGGTTCAGAATCCCTGTGTAACAGGTCTGAAGACGGGGTAATTAAAAATATCCGGTGGCATTTCATGGAAGTCGAAAAGGAAGAAAGTGAAGAGGCAGAAATACACTGGCATTTACATATTTAAAAGACAATTATTTGCCAGGGAAGTGAGCAACCTTAGAGTACGGGGGAATTAAGGCCAGCCTGCTGAACTAAAATAGGTTTCCTTAATTTTTTCATAAACAAGTGAGAGAAAAGGTCAGTCTAAAGCTCATCAAGTTGTAGAGAAATTTTGTCCAAGGCTGCTGGTTCCATCAACCCAAGAGCAGATGTATAAAGGCAATAGGGGCAACTTAAAGAGGCCATACCAGGTCGATCTTCACCTCTCCCACCAGCATTTCCCAACGTTTCCATCAGCTCAAGAAGAAGCCAGCCCCAAATCCTCACAGCTGCAAGCACTCCTGCCCATGCCGTGGCCACCGGACAAGCAGAGCTGTGTCCAGGAGGAAAGAAGAGGCGGTTTCTGTGCTGAACTTGCAATGCACCCCAGCAATTACATTGCTAGTAACTGAGCAGATTTTTGCACTGCTGGAGTTAAAGCTGAGTGAGCTTTGCAAAGATGGGAATGAATCGGCAGCGAGCCAAGCGCGATGCAGCAAAGCCAGACACGACTTGGGGAGCAGCACAGGCCGACTCAGCCTTGTGTCACTTAAATGTGATGGAACCCAGCTGGTGTTTAAAAGACTGCTTTTTTGTCCCCAAAATATCCCTGTGTAACCTATGGAACAGGTCCATTTTCTGCTGATTTACTCCCTTTGGACTCCTGTCCAACGTGTTTCTCTACTGAAATTTCATTTGAAAAGGGTGACTTCTGTGTTTTAGTTAAATTCATAAGTGGATGTGAAACACCAGGGATTAATTCAGCTGTTGATCTGGTTTTAGTACCAGGGGAGAAAAGCTCTTTTTCTATTGTTTATTCTTCATTCTTGTACATGAATTAAGTTCCAAACTGTGCAAAGTGACGTAAATCTTTTTCTCAGTAGTAAAGGGCTATCACATTATAACTAAACACATCAGAAAAGGATTTGGTCAGAGATTGCCTGCGTGTAATCCCTGCACTTGCATTCAGTGGCAAAACCAGCGGAACAGACTGGCTGGCTTCTCAATGCCACACAAAAAGTATTTCCATGAAGTATTTATCCCAGGCATGGAAAGTCAATTTGCATAGTTCGCAGTTATCAGAAGTTGGATTTTTTTCTGGGTAGCCACTGTGTCCTTTTTGTGAAACCCAAATCAGAACTACTCTGCTGAGGAAGGGCTTGATAGTGCAGCCAAGTATAAAACTGGCAGCAAAGTTTTCTGAGACCCTCTTGGACATCAGCTCAGCTCTTGGTAATTCCATGGGCTGTATTGGTGGGCACATCTGTAAGGGTTTTATTGGCAGTTTTTGAATGTAAAACATTTTCCTAAACTCAGGAAAGGGCTTGAGATGACTTGTTGATTTATTGGACATATCTCCTTCTGAAACTGGATGGCAGTGTTGTCTCCTCTCCAGACCAGCCCACTGTCCTGCACTGATGGAGATACTGTAGCACCCAAGAAGCTGCCCCACAACAACTTTTACCAATCGCGGTGCTGACATTTTTAATCCTTAAAGGATTTAACTTGTCTAAATCAGCTTAACAAGGTGAAGTTTTTATAAACTGGGCTTGCTGAGAGCTGTTAGGCTCCTGGGGGGCTGCCAGGGCGGGCTGCATGGCTGGCAGGGAGCGACCATGCCAGAGGAGCCGCTTGTCACACCAACACAAGCGCAGGCATGGGTGCCCTGCAAACCCACATCCAAAAAGGTGCATCAAGGTTCCCTGCATGTGCACTAGCACCTGGACCCAAATGCAGTGCGTGCACAAAACGTGGCTGTGTATGCTTTATGTTGCAGCTCAGCTTTTCAGTCATTTGCTCCAGACCTCTGGGAAGGGCTACTACACCCTTCGTAGTGAAGAGGAGCAGGAACAAGTAAGAAGTGCCACGGCCTCTTTCCTCTATTCAGCCTCCTCTCACTAACATCCCCTGACGTCCACACACGTGAGTAAATGTGTGTGCATGAGGGCCCTTTTAAGCCATCAGTGTTCCAGATCAATGCAAGGGATCAGAGCTTCGGAGCTGCAAACCTTGCCCTGCACGATCTGGATCTCGTGTGTGACGAAGCGATGTGTCTTTGCTTTGTGGGATAAACACCCTGTGTGTATCCTCCCACAGCCAGATCCTGGCCAGTGCTGTGCATCCCTTGGGTGTTCCTGCCATACTGAAAAACAGCAGTGTCTACTGAAACCGCTCTGCTCAACTGGGGAGCTGCCAAACTGGGGCCACTTGCGTGCGCCTCCATGGTTGGATCTCCACCAGTTGCAGCAGCAGCGGGGTTTTATGAACACGTCTTTAAACTGGTTTTGCCTTCTGCTGCCTAGTGCATTAAGCAGAGCATTAATAGATGTCAAAGTGCTTAACTAAAGCAGATGAGTATCATTGCTATGCTTGATGAATGGGGAAAAAGAGGTATTGCATCCTATGCTAGACCTGGGGAACTGAATTTGTGGCTCCTGTGTCTGTGTCCTCTGCCATGAGCCATCCCTGTCCTCGTAAGGAAACGCCACCCCTTGCAGTACCGTGCCCCTCTGGAGGAGCCCGCACCCACGGAGCCTGCCACTGCCAGGGAGACACTCCCACCCGCCTGCCATGCCCACGGCATTGCCCGCTCCACGCCAGGAAAACCCCACGCCAGAGAGAGAGGAACACTTACGTCTCCAGCGGGATCTTCGTCTGGGCCCTGGCAGGGGGCAAGAAGCAGAAGAGACAGAGCATCATCCACGGGACGGCCCAGGGCCCCATCCTCCGCGCACCACCCATCAGCAAGGGGACCGGCCGGCGGGGTGCGGGGGCTCCCCGCCCTTCCTGCTGCCCTGGGGGGGCTCCCGGGCGGCCCCCGCCATCCTGCCGGGCTGGGGGCCCTGCTGCTGCGGGGCCGAGCCCCGGGGCGACCCCGGCTGCCTCTGCCCCGGGAACGTCGCTCCCGCTGCCAGGCGCCGTCGGGGGTCTCCAGCGCAGGGCAGGCAGCCAAAAACCTGCCGGCACCTCTCGAGGATGGGCACCCACAGGTGCGGTGCGTCTCCGTGCCCCGAGGTGCAGCCGCGCCAGGAGGGAGCTCTGCGACGGGAGCCGCAGTGGCTGCGTAATCCCCTGCCAGCCCCTTAATCCCCTCGCCAAGCAGCAGCAGCCACAGATTTAGGGAAGTGGAGTGGGATAAAATCACCCGGGATTACTCTGATTCCTGAAGACGGGTCTTGGCTTCTCCAGCCGGAGGTCAGGCCATGCCTGCTTTAAAGGGGTCTCATCCGCATCCTCGAACACCTCTGCCTGAGCTTTGATCTCTGTCTGACGCTGCAGGATGCTGACAGGTCCCTCCACAGGTTGGCCCAGCACTGCCTCCTCCCCAGTGGGTGCCTGGGATTGGCACTGGGAGTGTGGGGGCAATGGTGGGGTCCTGCAGATACCAGCAGGTTCATGCCAGCCACTGCTTGGTGCTGAGGTTTGCACAGGACAGATGAGGCCAGGCAGAGCTGGTGCTTTGGCAGCATCCAGTGCAGGTCCAAGGCAATTGCCAAGGAAATTGCCCTCCAAGCCAGGAGTGGGAATCTCACATTGGTGAGGGGAGAGGAGGGAAAATGAGCAGTGGGAAGCAAAAGTGGCGTGAAAGAAAGGACTCTGCCAGTTTTAACTGATCACCTCCTAATGTGAATGATTATTTATTAATAGTCAGACCTTTCCGTTTGGGCAACATTCAATTGAGATTGCCATCCCCTCATCTGTGTCTGGAGACCAATGAATCAAAGGAGCCCAACGGCTGAATTTGATGAATAGCAGGAAGAAGCAAACTGCATGCTCAGATGAGGGACACGCTATCAAAGCTCATTATCATCACAAGAAGTATAAATTATAAATAACTACAGATATGGCAGCAGAAAGATTATAAATTACTGCAGCAACCTGTTGAGCTGCTTTACTCTATTGCTATGAATCAAGCCATTTATTAAGAGTATCTTCCAATCATCTTTTGCACCTTTACAAACGGCTCATTTAATGTAAAATGCAAAGCCATGCTATATTGTTAGGTTTCTCATGAGGATGTGGAGGGCGGAGCTGACTGACAAAGCACTGAAATCAAATTAAGGCACGTACTGCAGATGTGCAGTGTGCAGAGTGCAGCACTGGTGCCTCTTCTGATTTAACCCCAACTGGGGTTAAGCCTCACACAGCTGCTTGTTCACACCACCGCAGTGGGATGGGGGAGAGAATCAGAAGGTGAGAGAGAAAACTCATGGGTTGAGATAAAGACAGTTTAATAAGTAAAGCGAAACCTGCACACACAAGCAAAGCAGAAAAAATGAGAAGTCATTGGGCAGGCAGGTGTTCAGCCACCTCCAGGACAGCAGGGCTCCATCATGTGTAACATCGGTTTGGGAAGACAAATACCATCACTCTGAAAGTCTTCCCCTTCCTGCTTCTTCCCCCAGCTCAATATGCTCAGCAAGGTGCCAGACAGTGTGGCATGTCCCTCTGGTCAGTTGGGGTCTGTGACCCCAGCTGTGTCCCATCCCCACCAACATCTTGTGCACCCCCAGCCCACTCGCTGGTGGAGTGGTGTGAGATGCAGAAAAGACCTTGACTCGGCAGTAACCAAAACATCCCTGTGTTATCAACACTGTTTCCAGCACAAATCCAAAACTCAGCCCCATAACAGCTATTATAAGGAAAATTAACTCTATACCCCAGCTAAAACCAGCACAGGTGCACTTTAAATGGGATAATAGAAGTGACAGAGGAAATACAGAGAAGGGAATAAAACTATGAGACGTGAAATAGAGGTTAAATTGTATGACAAAGAGGCTGAAAGTCTGTGGTGAGCACTTAAGTAATTACAGGAATAATTCACCTCAGGATAGGATGGTTTCATCATTTATTACAATCTTTACTCCAGACTAAGTGTCTTATTGAAAGTTACGATCTTCTTCAGGCAGAAGCTGTGGGCCTGAAGGGCAGAAATTTCCAGATAATGTTCTTAAGTCTGTGCAAAGGGTTACATGGGAAGGTTTAAATGGTTGTTTCTGACCTTAAAATCTACAAAAAAAAATCAATTTCTACGCACATGAACACTCTATAGACAGTGTCTTCAGCATACCACCAGTGCATGGCAATTGCCATAGTCAGCTTAGGAAGACCAGATTTGGGTCTTAGTAATGAATTTCTCAAATTGCCAAAATGTTCTATGAGGGCTCTTGCTCCAAAAAGGAGTACATGCAGACCTGCATGGTCCCAGGGGGAATCTGTAGGCGAGAGCAGTACAGAGAAATGTATTTCCTCCCAGAAATTGCAGACAATGTGCCCCCATGGGAACAGAGGGAGCTGATTATCCTTCTCCTGAGTTCAGCCTCATGCTGGGGGCCACAGGGCTGGGCTTCTGCTGCCTTATTCTTCCTCTGCAGCCTGAAAAGAAGAGAAGATTGCTCTTAGAGGAGCTGGGAACACTGACAATCAAGGTTCCATTTGTCTGTGTTTACCGGGATTACAAATGAGGGGTAGCATCCAGGCTGGCAGGCTTCCCTGTCTGGATACTTCAGGGAAGAGATGATAAAAATTCGCATTCTGAAAAAAAAAAATCTAAAATGAGATCTGAAAGCAGGAGCATCAACATTTTAGATTGCATTTTCTTTCCACTTTTCAGGGAGCCATATAAATAGTTATTGTGAGTGATTTTTGCAGGATCTTTTCACTAACCCTCCCAGCCACTGTGTGCTATTTGCAGCTGGGACCCAGTTTAATCCAGATGGGTTCTGGCAAGAGCCCTTGTCTGGGTGTGTTTGGAAACCCCTGGAACATTGATAGAAAAGACAGTGAGACACAGGAACACGCTGAACTGGGAGATCTAAATCCCTTTATTTGGATTTATCTCATTTACTGGATATATCTCACTTAACCCCTTAATGATCTAAAATTGCAAGGAAGTAAGATTTGAAGATTAAATGAAAATAGCACTGAAAACTGAAAACCCCAGGTGCCTGGAGGGCCCTTAATGGGATTAGTGTGCATCCAGTTACTTCTGCAGAGCTCAGCCACCACAGTGTGTAAGCACAGTTGGAGCACGGGAAGGAGATAAACAATGGCAGGATCTGACTGGGGAAAAAGAAAATTAATCCTGTGAGAAAGAATGAAAGCAAATACATAACAAGGAGTGGGAATTTAAGGCTGCAAGAGATGAGCAAGTACAGCAATTTAGAGCTACATTTGCAAAACCACGAGGAAATAAAAAGAAATGTCAGTATGATTTTGTGCTGTGTTCACAGCCACAAGGAAAATTTACCAGCTCTATTTATTTCTGGTTTGACTAGAACCCGAGTTCAGTTTGGATTATCATGTTATGAGAAGATACTGGCAAATGTTAAGATTAGCAAAAGAACAAATAACATCAGAACACTGGTTAAGAAGTGTAGTCTTACAGTGGGATAAATACAAGGAAAACAGGGCAAAATGAAGAAAGGGGAATCTACACTGAGTGTCATGGAATCATAGAGTAGAATCATAGAATAATTAAGGTTGGAAAAGACCTTCAAGATCATACAGTCCAACCATTAATTTACACTGCCAAGTCAAGCACTAAACCACATCCCTAAGCACCACATCGACACCTCTTTTAAATACCTCTGAGAAAGCTGATTAGAAAGATGCCAGGCATGGCATAACCTCTTGAGGCAACCTCTCTCCATGCACTAGTGGTCAATAAGCCACATTCTGTAGCAGCCAAGTGTATCTTTGTTAGAGAGACATTTGGAACAGGGGATATGGCAACAACCTTGAGCACAGCAAAGAGAAGATCATGCAGCTTCATGGAGATGAAGAGCAGATGGGACAGTGTCTCAGCTCCTCAAGTACCAAGCTCATAGTGAAGTTACTACTTTTGTTGCCAGCAGGTTTATTGGGCTGATACTGGTCAACAGAGACACCTCTTCCCCATGGCATCCGTAGTGCTGCTCTCCCAGATGGCCTATGCAGTGAGGCAGGGCTGTCCCTCCTATTTTCTGGGTACTCTGGAGCAGTGTCTCAGGGCTCACACAGAGCAAACATCAGGGTCCTTTTTGCACCATAGACCTTTTTGCACCATTTTGCACCATCAGGACTGGGGAAGAGGTTGCAAGAGATCAGCACTGATTTGATTTTCCCTTCTGGAGACACTGCACTCTTGCTGTGTGCCTGCCACCACTGCACACCTCAAGGCAAGTCTTTGCTCCATCATGATCCTGAACTAAAAACATTTGGGAGATAATCACTTAATAAGAATAATTTGCTTTGATTTTGAATAACTTAAAAGAAGGCATGATGGGAATAAACTATGCGGTCTTGTTCACAGCAGATGCATTTATCTGAGATCATAATCTTGTGCCTCTCGTTATCTCTCGACACAACTCCTTAGATGAGTATCTGGGTACAAAAGCTCCTTTCTGTCCTGGTCAAATATTCTGCATAGGAAACTGCTCTGTCACCAGTGTTTGAGCTTGTGTCCTGTTGAGGAGATACGAGGACAATGTCTCTGGCTTGTCTGAGTAGGTTTAACTGTTCCTCTGTGTGGTTTGGAAAGCAGACGTGCAGTGTTTTGCCAATACCAGAGAATCCAAACTCCCCGTCTCAGTAGCTGCCAGGAGGAGGGGGCCCTTGCCAGAAGCAGTGATGGAAAAGCACTTTCAGTCATGGTTTTACTGGCTGGGCATGCAAACCTCTTCTGATCAGGTTTCAGAGCTGTGGAGAGTCAGCACTCTCGAGGTGAGTTTGCAGAGGTGTGG